TTTGGACACCCTAAATATAGGTCCATTAGACTTGATGGTGCTATTCCTTTAGCATAGCTACTCCTGTTTCAAGAGAATGAAAAACAACTTTAGAAAAGAAAAAAAAAAATCCTTGCGCAAAGAGTGAACTTAAAGGTACCCAGTGTTTTATATACTATTACAAAAATATATCTGAAGTAGAAACAAACTTCATAACAAGTCAAATTCATACACAGTATAAAATAGTATGTTTGCAATGGTATTGTCTAATGCATTTGTGTCGTTTGTGTCTAACTGCATTTGTTTAATTGTCAAAACATAAGAATGCATGATACACTAGCACGATGTGCAACAGAGGGTATGAGAAAATGTTTCATTCTTTGTTTCTTGGTTTTGGTTTTATTGAGGTTTTGGGTTGGTTTGTTTTAACTAACACACACTAACAAGTGGTACTCTATGGTATTACCCCTGTGACAGAGCCTGTGAGACAGTAGGCAACCCTGTACATTTCAGAAGAGAAATCCAAGATGCGTTGCCATCTATCTAGATGAGATCATGTGAGTGATGCAGAGATACGTGCTGAGAGGTGGCCCCTGTTGCATATGAAGGCAGCAAATCACTCATATTTTATTACACTGGGTATTTTGCTGAGGAGGCTACAAAAGGGAACCACTGCAAGTCTGATATCAACAGCAGGAAGGACCAGTTGCATCTCATGCTCAGGGGCATTAAATAATTAATACCAACATTATTGCATGGTTTCCATGAGATGCTCATATTTTAATCTAACACAAATGCCCAGTTACAAAGAATTCAGGGTGTTAAAAAATGTGTAGTATTATACATTAAAATTCATATGAATCAGTTCCCACGGAGTGGGACAATGGCTAAATCACTCAATGAATGGAATTAATGCAGTCGAGTCACCCCAACTCCCCACCCAGCCGTAAGTGATCATGGTTACTCTGCTCCTCAACCCACCGTATGTCTCAGTAGCACAGCGTTATGATATGTGGGAGTACCAGTTCATGGCAATGCTAATGCAGTCTCACAGCTCTCTTATTGGCTCTGGGGAAGCTGAATCCAGTCAACCTTTTGCAAAGTCTGCCATATGCAGTGGACAAACATATTTTTAAACATCTGAGGTATTTAGTTCCCTCTTTCATAAAGGCACAGGCCCACAAAGGGATTGAGACTCTGTTACCAAGACTCACTGTGTCAGTTTTGTAAATTTGACACCAGCATAATTTACACAGACACAAACAAAAGCACATTACAAACTACCAAAAATTAGCAAATTCAGAAGAACTTCAGTATTTTCCAAGACAAACTTCCTGAAAAGCAGGAATTATCACTTGAAAGCTAGTGCCTGTTTCAGTGTCACTGGAGAGCTACTGCAGGTATTTGGAGCTGCAGCTCCCAAAGGTCTGTGGCCACCCTCAATCAGGTTTAGCTCCAAGCACAGTCACATCAATAGCCTGAATTAAATACTTTGCAATTTTTTGCAAAAGACTTTGCAATTTTTTTTTCAGGAAAAAAAAGTGAACGCTGGTGTCAAACTCTGAGTCCACATGTAGTGTGGTAAACTAATACAGCTGTCTCCACTCAGAGAAACTTGGACAATTCAATTGCAGAGGTCAGAGATGTGTTATTTAGGAGAGGAAAGCCCAGATTTGCCCAATCTATTCTACCTCATTTTTATTCCCTTCAGTGACATTTGAGATTTTGGCAGTGAATACCCCCCAAAAAAATCCATGCACCTATCAGCTGAGACCTTATTCGTCATACTAAACTCATGTACCTTACAATTTAGGATGAATGAATGGAACATGCACCTGATGTTTCCACCATGTATAATTTTTATATATAGGATATAATTTTTATCCAGGCAAATACTGGAACTGTGGTGAACTGGAAACAACATAGCAAGGATCAGAGAGAAAGGTGCCTTTCTGTTGACAGGTTTCTGTCCTCAGGAGCAGCTGGCATTTAAACAGCAACTAATCATTAAACTTCATAGGCCAAATTCTTCCCTACAGCTATTCCACTGAAACTGCTTTATTCAAAAATAAACTGGCCTTGTGCTGTGGAGCTTGACCAGCTCTAGTTTCAGCTATGCAGCTAGTAATGCTTTTTCTTTTCAAAAATGCTCAGTAGAGTTTTTTCCATGCATTTCCATCACCCACACAACCACAAAACCACCATGAAGTTCTGCAAAATGGTACCTTCTGTTCACAGGAGGCCCCTGATTCAGATAGCAAAATTACTGTATCATATACCCACGCCCATTTTCAAAAGTAAATTAAAAGATAATTCTTTCATTTCATTTCACAGCTGGCAAACCCAAGAGTCCACAGAAAGAATTAGTTTCTATAAATATTCATGTCTATAAATGCCAACTAAAACTTGGCCTGAAAGAGCATAATTAATCAAGAAACACAGCTCAGCAAAAAGACATCCTTACTTTCCAGCTCACCAGGCACGTCTGCTGCCCTTGGACCAGGAGCTCTGCTTTGAATCTCAGCTCTGGAGCACACTGCCTATTCTTTTAATATTAGGACAGTTTTGTACTACTAGAGCACCTTTGTAGGATCCTGAAGCATATCAGTCAGTTCTGTCCTCTGTTTCAAGCCAAAGGAATTGTGTAGGGGCATTTAGTTCAGTTACCTCAGTAAAGCAAGATGAATCATGCCTCACTTAACTCCAGACACCCAGTTAGACAGCTGAGAGAGTCACCTGATGCTCTGTTTACAGTCAACAGAAGGAAGACAGAACCTCCAGAGGATCCTTTGCCTGATCTATTTTTGAATGAGGTGAATCCCCCTTCAGCAAGACTATGGTAACTAACTTAGACTTGCAAGCCTTTTTCACATCAAGAAAATCATATACATATTTCTAGACATTTCACCGCAGTGGACTGATAGACCTTAATATATCACTGCTGAGAAAATACTGTCAACATTTTAGGAAACACTTCCTGCCAAAAAAGGAGGATTGAAGGATTTTTGGGATGGATGAGGGCAAAAAGCTCCATAATTTTATGGTTCGCTTTCAGAAACTTTATAGAACTGATGTATAAGAAACCTATACGTTTCAGTAACCCACTTCCTTTGAGAGTACTTTTTATTAAATAAAGGACTATTTGTTTCTATGGTTACCTAACAAACACACTGTCCTGGCACTGATGTCATCTCTTAACTGTTTTATCATTATGCTATGGTGTTTATTCTTCCCCTTGTATTTTTTTTCTGTCCATATATACTAAGGATTATGTTACATAAAATTGGTTGACAAGCTGGTAGAGAGGCTATATCCTCAGTTTACACTAATAAACAGAGTAAAACCTTACCAGTAGGAGCAGAGTCCTTGGCTTTAAGGGCATAGCTTTCACACAACTTTTTTGTGGCTTTTACTTCCAATTATCTCCAAAGCCTGTAGACTGAATTTGCATCAGCACTTGGAGTACATTAAATGAGCTCCTCAGGTCCTTCTGACTTAGTTTTATCCCAAACAAAATCAGTTTATATGCTCTGAGATGCAAACTGAAGTGCAGTAAATGCGGGTGATAAGGACGTTCATTTTAAAAGTGCATTCCTGCTCTAAGTAATGCACTCATGTATTTACATCCAAAGTTTTTTCAGAAAGGAAGAGCATCTTGGAATCCTGATGCGTGCCCCCTGGTATTTCCACAGGACCGTGTTTTTTCATTCTCAATCTCTGAAATTTTACCCCCCTTTAAGCTTTGAAAAAAACCTGCAACATTCCACACCGTTCACCTTATCTGCACATTTAAAAGACAGTAAAAATTCATCACAGAAGTCAACAGAGGACACATAATCTCTACCTGGGAAGCAATCTTACCCATAAAGACACCTTTAGAATGATTTCTGGCCCTGTTTAAGGCCTACAAGGAGCAAAGATTTAATCCATAATGCTTCCAGATGTACGAGCTGAGCTGTAAGGTTTCTAGTTTCCTAGGACTCAAGTTCATGTGGTCATAATTACAGCCATAGTCCTGAAGACAACACATGCTCATACCCAACACATACAAAGACAGGCATTCCTTCCTTGAGGTTAACCACTTGTGAAGTTATTACTTCCATTAGCAGAACTCACAGTCCTTAAAGAAATCATGTTGTGTTAGACTCCAAAGAAAATATATTAAGACATTTGAGGACAAAATAATTTGGCTTTGCCACTGAGTAATTTATCAATTTTTTTTTTTTTTTTTTTTTTTGGTAATACAACTAACATTCAGACAAATTGCCCAAGAATTGCCTTCTGAAAGTTCTCCTTTCCTAGCTGACTGCAGATTGAGCTTAAATGATTATCTTAGATAAATCCAACTTTTAGACGGCCAAGATTACATTAGAAGACTGCCACCACCCCATGAATCCTTATAGTTCTATAGCTCATTTCCTCATGATCTTTTTAGTTTTCCAGCTTTCAAAGAGAAAGTTAACATTGTTGCAAAGACAGCCTTTAACAGGACTTTTTAACTCAAAACTGATTCTATTAGTTTATTGGTAAAGATTCCAACAGGTGTTTTGCACAAAGCCTCAGTGCAACACCTGGGTTTAAAGCTGCAAGTAGAAAGGGTGCTGCCAGGAGCCAAGCATCAGAGCAGGGGAATCCATGACTTTATCACTGATGCCACCTTGGAAACCATCTCACTGACTGGAAAAGTCACCACTTCTACAATAGGGGCAACAGAAACCCTGCAGAGCAAAACATCTTGAGAGGTTTGTAACACACAGAGATACCATCTCTCATCTTCATTTGCTGATGCCAGACTTGAGAGAGCTGAAAATGAAGGACTCTACAAACATGATGTATTTAGCCCACTCACAATATGGTTTTAACCCCCACACAGTCTGGGTTTCTCAAGCAGGGAACGGTACCAGCTGCTGGTTCTTAACAAGATAGCTGGCAAGGCAGCACAAACAAGGACTCCAGATGGGAGGTTGGCCACTACTGAGATGTAGTGGTAAAAAAGTAGTAAAAAGATGTTATCTTTTTACCTTGTGTCCCTTGGGCTGTAATCCACACCACACCAAGTATTAATTATGCCACTGATGTAGTGAGGGTTTCAAGCAACTTGAGTTAAGGAAAGATCTGCAGTTAGAGACAAAGGTATACTCTTAAGTTCTTAATAATAATTAAGGATACAAATCATAAGAGAGTACAGCTAATCAGAACTGATGTACAGTGCTACATGTGAGAGAAAAAAAATCTGACCCTTTTCTCTTACTGGAAAGTTTAATGCTTATGCTCCTGATGGCATTGATATTTTAAAAATAATTTAAAAGCCACAACTATAAAAGAGCAGAGATCACTAAATTTGCCAGCTATATTCCTATATCTAAAGAAAACTGTATGTTAGCTCTGCTAGGAAGTTACTGCTTCTTGCTTTGTACTTGAGAGCTTTACAGGAATATAAGGAAAACTCTTTAATAGTATACAGAAAAGGTCAAAGATTTACCTAACAAAAGCACGATATAACAAATTAAATGTAATTTCATAGCAAACACTGCTTTATACTATAATCAACCAAATCTGAAAATTCTTGGAGAAGAGATAACCTAGCCATTAGGAAACTAAGTATTTAGGAAAGTTAGATGTGTTGAATAATCCCGCACAATATATCTCACAGAGATGGGGGAAACTGCTCTTCAAGTTTTTTTGCCATAACACAAACTTGCTTAACATAAACCTGTTTATCTGGACAATGTTAAGGCAAAGTCCAGATCTTGCTTGTCTGTGTAACACAAGGTATGCTTCTGTAATCTTGGCAGAGAAAAGAGAAAACGAAATCAGTCACATGCCAGAATTGCCGAACACAAACATTTTGCAAGCAACCTGTAGTTTGAAATTTACTTGCCCAGACTAGTGAGTTTGCAAAATGCACATTTCACAGAAGACAAGAATGATTCATTGCCAATTCACAAGCAAAAAAATGCCAATGCTTGCCAATTTTTTTGTCTTGACAATACTAAAAGTGCCCTCAAACCAATACTGTAAAGTGATCCTAAGGATATTTCCCAGTGAAAAGTGCAACTAAAGTATGAGAAGACATGAGCTGTAAAGCATTGCCTGATCTAGTCAAGTAGTAGAGAATTTTTTAACTTTCGTCTCTCTGAGAAACTGAAGTCTCAGAAAGGATTAAGCCACAGGGTAAAAAAATCAGAGAAGCTGATTCTGATTACGGCAAATTAATCAACAAAATAATTACCGAAAATCAAAAGAAAAAAAAGTGGAGCTGCAGTACAGAAAAAATATTTAACACACGAATTACAAAAAAAGTGCAGGGAAGGGGCTGTCTGTTCCTACATCAACACAAAAACTCACTTCGCGTGGAAATATGTAATTTGAGCTTTTTCAACGCGTCATTTACATAGTGTATTTAAACGTGACAACAGAAAAATGAGCGAGGGATTTTTCTCTGCCTTGCAATATCTTAACCGCAGGAAAAACATCTCAATAGCAGCACAATTTAGTAAAACCCAAGCAAAGAAAAATCCAAAACATGAGTAATTACAGAGAGCAGCTGAGGGGTAGGTGGATACAAGCAGCTTCCCCAGGCTGCTGCTAATGATCGTTAACCCTCCCGCGGCCGAGGAGCAGCGACCCGCTGGCACTGGCTCAGCCGTCCATCACCGAGGGGAGCCCTCGCCTGCCCGGCACCAACAGCCTGAGCGGGGACCTGCCCTGAGGGAGGGACGGTGTGAGGACCGAGGGGAACAGGTCCCGACGGTCACGGCTGGGAGCGGCGCCAGGAGCCCCGGCCGGGAAAGGGGCTGCGGCGCCTTGGGGAACCGCGGCTCCCTCAGTGTGCACAGCCGAGGGCGGCCCCGCTCCGCGACCATGAGACCGAAGGGGAGGCGGCGGCGGCCCCAGCTCCGCCGGCAGAGGCGGGCCACCTGCCTTCGCTTTAGGTCTCCTCGGCTCCCGTTTCTGACGTCCCCCGCTGGCCCCTCCGCCAGCGCTGCCCTCCAGCCCCCAGCCGCACTCCCCCTGCCCCACCTGTCAGAGGGCACCGCACGGGGCGCGTCCCCCCATCCCCGTGGGGCCGGACGGGCGGCCCCGAGCTCGCAGCTCCCCTCCGATCCTCCCGCACCTACCGGCGAGCGTAGCACTCCCACAGCGCGCTCGGTGGCGGTGGCGGCGCAACGCGGCCCCGGGGAGCGCCCAATGGCGGCGGCCGCCGCCATTGGGCGCTCCCCGGGGCCGCGGCGCCGCATTGGCCGGGCCGTCCCCCCGAGTGCCGCCCCCGGCCCGGCCCTCACACAGGTGGCGGCCGAGGGGCGGCACGGGCGGGTGTTCCCTCAGTCGATCCATTCGGTTTATTCCCAGGGCCCCGTTTTAAATACCATTGAAAGTCAACGGACTTTGCCGTCTCCTGCAGGAGACGGGGCAGAAAATAAATATCAATGTGCAAATAATAATAAAAAAAAAAATATCATGCAAACAAATCCTCCTGCTCCGGGGTCATTCAACGGGCGTGCGTAAATACAGCACTAGCTGTTTGTAAGTGGTGATTTTGTGCACCCACTTCCAATACAAACTAACAGGCACCTCAGTTCTTTTGTTGGACCCACCCTGATGAATTTCACGGATCAGCAAATAACCCCCTATTAACTTTATTAGTCCTGACTAATACATAATACAATGTCTATGAATCAAACTGTTTCTAAGATGTTAAGCTGTATTAGTATTACAAGACTAATAACATAACTTGTATACTAATATTAATCTTATTTTTGCCTTTAAAGATTTCAGAGAGCAATTTGCATATGGAAATGTCTTTATGGAGGCATTAATTTCTAACCTCACGTACAATTTCAAGGCTTTAGCTGAAAGGAAAATTATGCAAAATGAACATGTGCATCACCAGTACAAACGTGAGCACAGATGTGTACATTTACATCCATTAGCAGATTCTGAAGAGCTGAGGGAGTAGGAAGTCACCAAAGAGCTCCTAGAAAATTGTACCTTGCCGGCTGAGAAATGGTAATGACCTTAACATTTGCATTAAACATTATAATAACAACCTTAATTGGTAATGAGGACCGACTGTAAAAATTGTTAGTTCACCCGTAGAAGAATTAAACTTATGCAATTTTTTTTTTTAAAGTGTAAAACACTGGGAAATTCTCAAATATGGAGCACAAGATAACCACGCAATTACAACAACTGATGTTACGCTCGGCAGCTTAGTGTGTCTTCTTGACCTGATAGGTTTGAAGCGGCTTTCAAAGAGGGTCAAGGTTTAACTATTGGTGTGCATCAGTATGGGGATGCACATTACAAAGTACACGGTCACTCGAACAAAAACCCAAAGCCCCTGTGGCACAAGCCAGGGACAGCCTGTGTCCCAAAGCGCCGACACGAGTGCCAGCTAGAGGTGGTTGGGAGGAAATAACATAGAACTCGCATGTTCCCAAACAGGACTTGCAGGTAGTATCTTATCCAGCAGTGCAAAATGTTGATTGCTCAGACAAAGCCAGTCACACAGAAGATGTTTAGTCCACTGTCCATGGACCCAAACGGGTTTAGGCTGGGAGCCATCCTCATTTGCATATGTACAGGGTAACTACAACAAGGACATGGGATAGTTCTGCTCTGGTATAACAGGCATCTGTGTTCCTTCTCAGGATTGTTTTATGAGCCAAAAGAACTACAGATTAGTTTTCCAATTGTTTCACTTTATCTTCCCCATCTTTAATAAATCCAGTATCCAGAATAACATCATTGACCTCTGATGTACTGTCCTGTGAGAGATCCTGATAAGAAAAAAAAGACTTTAAGGCCATCAATCCTTTCCCGGTTTTGGTCAAGTCCTGAACTCCATTTCTTCTTTTGCTTTTTTTCCTTGTTTGTTTTCTGAACAAAAGCAGGAGCCATTACAGAGTAAATTCACAACAAAACCACAAACCTAGCTAGTCCACAAAGGTAGCTACAAATGCTGCTGCAAACAGTCCAACAGTGGCAGTGGCTGCCATATCTTGCACTGCTAAAGCACACAGCATGAAATGTCATCAATCAGGTTGTAATTAAGACTCAGCACCAGAAATATGCTTTCCATCTCTTCTGCCCTTTTCACCCCAAATGCAACTTTACTGATAGCCTTTAGATGGTTTAAAGGCTGAGGAAAGGGATGTTTCCTCATTTAAAAAATCATTAAAGGAAAAAGGCTTGCATATAGTATATTAATTTTTAATACTTTTTCTTCTTTTATACAGATTATCAGACTTAAGATGGCTCTAGCATCAGTTATTTTTTCTGATATTAAGTAGATTGAAATTCCTTTATTCAACATACTCATAAAATGGTGGTGTGGGGGGGAAGAGGCAGAGAGCAATAAGATGTTTCAGAACATTTGATTATTTTAAACTATTGATTCCATCGAAGTTACTACATCATTACCACAGTATGAGACATCTCTGTTTAGTAGTAGTATTCTGTTTGGACTTGAGAGAAATTTTTACTTTTTGTTTCTGAAATTCTTTTACTAGTCAGATCTAGAATGAAATGATTAGCAGGTAACATACCTGTTACATGTTCTTATGTCTTCCTGAGTCTTCTCAGAATCAAACCCAGAGAAAACATTTTTGGTCAGCCCTACAATGGTCAGACAGTTGAACTTGATGGTCATTATAGGTCCTTCCCAGTGAAATATTCTCTTGCATCAGAGAATCAAAACTAAAATAACTCCATATAAATAGTTATACATTCAATATCTGGTTGAATACTGCTGTTCCTACAATAGAAAGAGAAGTTAGAATATACTTAAATATTTATTCCCCCTCAAAGTAAGGACTGAGTGGGGGAAAAAAAATAAAATCAAACATACTCCAGAGAGCCTGATTTACCTACTTCAAATAGTTTGGGTTTGAAGAATAAAGATTATATCCTTCCATTTTCTCGAATATGACAATAGTAGATATTAACCATAAAAATACAGCATTATATTGTTGGTATTCTGACTGATGCTGAAAACGTATGAATGATGAGACTCTACAGGCTTAGAACATGTGAAAACATAACTATAAACACACGTACTGAGTAACTAAAGGTTAGAATGATCCCAATTCTAATTTATTTTGAATATATGCATTGCCTGACTTTTTGTTCTTTCAACTTGACAGTTAACTAGGGTTTTTGGTGTGCATATTTCATTATAAAGATATCAATAATTCATTACATCTTGGGAAAATATGTTATTTTATTCCAATATAAAACAACAATTCTCATGCAAGCTTTACTGCAGATTTAATTGAATTCATCAGTTAACAGCATTCAATACATTTCATCATACTAAATGAAGTGAGGAGATGTAATTTAACCCTCAGTACTATGCCAGCAGAGGCTCAATTCAGAAGTCTACAGAAGCACTTGGATAATTTTTTACCTATCTTGGCCTGCTTCCGCAATTAAGTCTGTACTCTTGACATATTTCTTTATACTATATCACAAATTACAGTCTCACAGGAGTGTTGTCATTCACACTCCTCAGCCCATGAGCTGATACTGACTCAAGACAAAAAACAATGAGAGAAAATAAATGGGTTATGCCAAAAGATTGTTTACTTAGCTCCCTTACCTTGTACCTCTTACAGTATCAAGTAGGATTAATGAGACACTAGATTTGAAATCTTAAGAAGGGCATTTATTTTTAGTTTAGTTTTTCTATTAATTTGCAGTATTTACCATAGAGTTTTTCAGTTTTCAGCCAGAGGATTATCTGCAAACTGTTTACTCTGAGATCTGTGCTTTATGATGCTGAACTAGTATCACCAGAAACATTTAAAAGTATTTCATATCAATCTATCTTTCGGAGCTGAACTAAGAATGACAAAGGTAGTGAAGAGTAGACTTCTGGGGCCTTGGAAACTCAAACATAATAATTAGGCCCCAAAATGAAAAAGATTTTACATGTGCAAAGAAAGGTAAATAGTTTTTGTGTCTTTATATAGCTATTCACTGAATATGTAAGATAGCAGGGCAGGCAAACAATTACTAAAAAAACATTCATTTCGTTAGTTGAGAGATTACATCAATGAAGAAACCCTTCTTTCCTGCTCTGTTCTGAGAAGTTCCTACCTATTTGCAACCCTTTGCCTTCCACAAAGATCAGACTCCTAGTAGGGAACTCAGCAAGGCTGTTTGTTTAGCAAAGGGTCAGAAAAAGCCAACACAGCTGCGTGCAGTGAGATCACCACGTTTATCTCACTGGGTCTGAATTCTCTTATTAGTCACCTCCCTTCTGTGCAATGTTTCCCAGATTTCAACAACCAAGTCAAACACAAAATTATTTGTAAAAGAATATGAAATCCTTTAGTTATCCAATTACAGCTGAATATTTAACATAACACTGGATTCCACAAAAAAATGTATACCTATTTTAGTGTGGCTGTTCTTCCAAATGGATTGTTCAGTCCTATAACAAATGTGATGAAAACCAGAGATGAAACTTAATACAAACTGAAAAGAATTTACTCAGTTCCTCCTGATCTCACAGCATCAGTAACAAAGGTAACTGAAATACTTTGGAAAACTCTCCAATGTGTAGATTGTCAGGCCTTCAGCCTTTGAATTCAAAGCTGGATGATTCTCCAAGAAGTATCCTTTTTATAATGCTAAGTTGTAAACCTTGAACTGGAACATACCACAGTAGTTTCTTCAGTAGTTTTAACATCAGCTATAACAATTACTTTATGAAGTGCTTGACTTTTTTATCACATATCTATTTTTAATACTAGCAATGTAAATAAGGTATTCCTTTAAAATTGTCGTTGAATTGATCTGGAAAACTTTCCAAAAATAATAATAAAAAAATATTTAGAAGTACCTAAAATGCCATTAATTAATGGAACTTCAGCATATAGCAAAGTCCAGAGCCTACCAAACATTAAAGTAAGATTGGAAAGAAATAAATACTGTAAAATATTTTAAATTACAGCTTTCAAGCTATTAGGATAGCTCAAATATTTTACTGGATAGTCTCAATGAAAAAGTGATTTAAAAAAATTTCTTCACCTGTTGCTAAACATTTTTCACTTTAGTGGGAAAGATTTTATACTCTAAGAAAATATGGATTTAACTTTGCAAAAGAGGTCACTGTCCTGCAAGCTGTGCCCAACTAGTCCACATTTATTGTGTACATATAACAATGTCCAAACAATGTTGGAAGACAGACTAGCATAACAGGTTAATAGATTTACATACTAAAAAATTTTTAACAGTCCAGGGATAGTAATTCTTTACCAGGTCTTTTCAGAAGCTACATTGATTTTTCATTTTGAACTTTTGCTCTAAAAATATGAGAATAATAAGAGTACTGAATTATTTAATTTTGTTAAGTAAGTTTCTGAAGCTTCTGTAACCAACATATTTTTGTTTTTCTCTTTCTTTATATGTGTGTGTGTGTGTATAAACACACGCACTTTTGGATACACACACACATTCTCCCGTGATATGGCAATGACTGAAAGTGTGGAAGTTACTCCCTTCCCAATCTTTGAGACCTCAAGTATTTAACAAGTCCAAGTCACCATTTAGTGTCTAATACCCCCTTGTGGCTGCAAACACACACACACCAGATACAACTATTTTTTTTTTCCCGCAGCAAAAGCAATTAATTAGAAGGAATGAAAAAAAAATCAATATGAATCTTGTACAGAAATGAGCCACATTCATAAATAACAGATGGGAAGTGGAACAACTAATTTTAAAGTACAGCCTGTGTTTAGGAGGAAGGATGAAGAAAACCAAATTATGAAAAAGGAAATACAGAAAATAACTGACAGAAGAATCAGAGAGCTAGAATTTCAGTGTTTTGGAACACAAAAATTATTATTCTTCACAAGTGATTTTCAAAAATCTGGAATTGCAACCTGTGTTACACGGAAAGACCAAAAAGTTGGCTACCAAAAACTAAAAATGTGAGCAACCCATCTCTCTGAAGTGGAGGACTGCCTGAAGCACTACTGCCCTCAGAAAAACTTACCAGAATAAGTGGCAGCAGCACTGGTACCTCTTGGTTCACATCCTGTTGTCATAACCACTGTGAACACTGAGCGTAACCACACAGGTGGTATCTTTATTTCACAAGATTAAAGATACAGTACAAAATGAATCTGTACATCTTTCTATTAACAGAATTTGTTTACACAATTATATTACATTTGACCAGCCTTTATACTGATTTTAAATACAAAATAAATTTACAAAACTCCTACAAGACCCTTTAAAGAACTGCAGCTGATAAAAACAAAGGGTTCCCCCCAATAGTCCCTATTTGCCATATGCATTTGCAGTAGTTCAAATCAAACTAAATCTTTTCAGTTTAATATTCTCTGAAACAAAAATAGAATTTCAGTTCATTGTTGCCTATGTAAAAAGAAAGCAACTTGCAAAGGTGAGTGTGATCCCCCTTTATAGGCCAAAACTAGCATATAATAGGTGGAAATTAGATAATGCATAGTCTTAAAAAGTCCTTTCACAAGCCACATTTTAATGTTCTTCTCCAAAAAGAGTAACATTTGATAGCTTCTGTGTTGGTTTGATTTTTTTTTTTTTGTAGGAGAAGCTGACTTATGGAAGATGACTAAAAAGTGAGTAAAACTGTCTCATAAGAGTTTCATGAGGATGTTTGTATCAAAGGCCTTACCTTCTATTACATTGTCCCATTACATTTATGCTGTGATAGACCATATAAAGCAAGGAGTTATTTAAACAGACGGCTCTGGGGCAAGTTTCAAAGAGTGATGTACTAGAATCCTGTTTTCTCAACAATTCAGCACTTCTTTCAACCAGCAAGAACAGATAGTGTCTTTTATTAAGAATCTGAGACGTAAAATAATGTGTCCCTCCACATTTTCCCAGTTTTCCTACATATAGAAATCCCACCAACAACGCTTACTGCTCTCTAGTTCCATTCTCTGGCATGGAAAGAAGAGTATATGTCTGGGAAGGTCAAATAGGCAGGCTCTGGCCTATGCTACTACACACAAAGAATACAACTTTTCCATTCAAACCACGCTCAACACACCCAGAAAGGCTTCTCTTAAACCAAGTTTCCATTCTAAAGTACTCCTGCATATAAACTGTAAGACAACCTGTGCTACCAAAAGGGAAAAGTACTTCACTGCAGTAAACTGAGCAATCCGGCTCCTTTAGGAAAAAGATGCTTGATTAACTGAGTGCACAAGATACATATTGCTAGTAAGAGTTAAATATACCTCCCTCAAAATGCAAGTTTCAGAATAGAGTAGCAAGGGATTGTCACAAAAACTTAAGTCATGGTGTAGATAACTGATTTAGAAAGCTTATTAATTTCTTTAATCCCTGAGTTAACTCACCATTACTTATGGTAAGTACCTTTTTTCTTCTACCACTGCATTCAAATGAATGTCATCTGAAAAAGTCAGTGGTAGTAATTTGGTGGAAGGGAAAAAAGCAGGAGAAAGACTTCCTTATTGCTCCTTCAAAAAGCAGTTCTTTAAAGTGAAATAACTTGCTAACTTCAATCATTTCCTTCTGCTGATTTCTTGGGATGTAAAAATGCATCAGATTCAGTGAAAGTCATCTATAAGACTGTCACACAGCAGCAGTGATGAGAGATTCTCATGCAAATAGGATAGAGCTTCTAGAATTTAGTTCTAATAGAAAAATCAAAACATTTTAATTATGCAGTAATAAAATTGTTAAACATCCTAAGAGACCAATACCAATCAACCAATGGTATTTAACTGAAAAACATTTTCCATGTAATCCTCAAATTATTCATGCCAAGCTAAAAAGAGCTATTAAGTGACAGCAGCAAAAATACTTCAGAGGGAGTGTTCAAAAGTCACAGATATCTTAAAAATGCAGCTGGGGAGTGCTGTACATTTTAGACACGACATAGAAGTTCAATACTGTCCCATCAGCTAATGATGATTAAGACTGAACAAGATATTCCTCTACCACATGCTGCAAACTTGCACACTAACACGAAAGATTTGTCTTCACATAACCACCATAAGCATTTTGAAGTACTGAGTTCTACCTAGTACCTTTAATACTAGCCATCCTTGACATTTCCATTCACAAAAGAATGGATTGCTTATCTTCTATCCCAAACTACAAATCTGCTGTGCAGCTGTCTCCTTACAAACATACCAAGTATGAAATCATATCAAAATCTCAATTCTAAATTATGTGTATTAATATGTTGTTGCCAATCTGCTGGAAAAATATTTGCATGAGAGGAAGCCCTTAACCCTTTCAAAATAACAGCTTTTATCAGAAAGCAGCTAAAGCTTCCTCTCTTGTATTTCATTCAGCTCTGAGACTGCTTTCCAGAGGATTTAATGCTAGTACAGAAGCAAATATTTAACTGCCATTGGTAAATAGGAACAGAACAGACGCTTCTGCATTTTGTGCTTCTAAACTACTCTACAACTGCTTCCCACACCTAATCCCGGAAATTATAGTTCATTGAAAATCGTTACTAAGTGAAGATTCCTCTTGCAATCTTAAATCATCAGTCCACAGGTCATATTCTTTACACAAATTAAAAGGCCTTTACATTGACCTGGTGGCATCAAGAAGCCATAACCCACTAGTCTTCTTTCTCTTTGGATTTTCTTGTTACAAGGGGTCCTCAAGATGGCCCAGTCAGAGACATTTTTCTCATGTGTATCAGGTACAAAAGAGGTTGGCAATTGCTGTAGCTTTGGAGTAGCATCACTGGTATAAAGCCCATGGCCTTTTGTAGAGAGTATGCATTTTTGTGGCCTTTTTTGTAGATGCACTAAGCAGATGCATGCATGAGATACACACCTTTCTTTCTTGCAGTGCAAATCACTAACAGGATTGTTGAAAATTAAATAGAGAAATTCCAACTCTAAACCAAAAAAAAGTCAGCTAACTCACTGAGATTTCTCACTCTGTCCTGTCGTCAGTGTCAATAATAATACTGGTACTTTCTGTAATCTAGACTCAGCCTCTTCATAAGGGTAAATTTACATAACTTAGGAACACTATCAGTTTGGGTTGTATGTCATAAAATATCACAAAGTACACAGGTTCCTGAAAAGTTTTAGAAGTATGTGAGATCTGGGCACTGCCCCAGTCCAGCTCATGGACTACATACTGTCTGCTGAGAACTGTCTAGTCTGAGGGGAAAGGAGGAAAATACTCAAAACAAAAAAGCACAAATGGAGAGTGGCATGTTTGCTGGCTTAGATTATTGATAAACCCTGTAGAACTATGTTAAACCATCCAAGATAGCATAAGAGATCAAACTGTAAGAAATACTTAAAAGTAATAAAATAAGGACTACAGAAATACTTGGGATGTAGATCAGAATATAAGTTCATGACAGCTTCAGTCTTTTTAGAGTTTGAATGTAGTTCAGCTTCTTGGACTTAAATAGGTCATAAAATTATTCATTGTTATTACTTTTATAAAGGGCAACTGCTATCAAGCAGGCAAAAATCTTCCACTGCTAACCTTCTGTCTCTTGGGAGATGAAAAGGACTCTGAATAAAGAGGAACTAGATACAGCAGGCAACGTTTTTGTAGTAGCACTCTTGTGTTTCCACAAAAAAAGCCATAGTGTTATTCCATTGGCACTGAAATAACATTCAAATCAGTTTCAAAATAATTTTCTTATCCCTGAAAAAAGGCATCACTCTAAGCAGCTTTCAAACTCTTTTTTTTAAATTTTTTTGCGCCTCTTTTGGGGGTAGGACTGTTGATTCAAAGTCCTAAATCACAATGAAAATTGTTCCTTTTGGAAAAATCCAGTTCTTTCACTGAGGCTTTTGTTGCTATTGCGGTGGTTGATGCTCTGGTGGTGGTTCTTGTTGAGGCACAGCTGGCCGCAGTCCTGCTGGTCTGGGAATCGCTTGGTGCTGCCTTTGTCTGTAAGCTATAATTGTTCCCAGAAGCAAGGCGATGATAGTCATAAGGTAGAGGTCCCACTCAGGCCCCAGTAGCTGGTCCATATCAATATGTGAGAATACCTCCCTCATCTAAGAAAGAAGAAGAAGTCCACATTATCATGTCAAAGAACACGAATGGGAAGCAATTAAATTTGACTTGTAACATTTTTCAGGTACAAGTCCCAGTTTTGAAATTTCAGTAGCTCTTTTCCTCTCTGAAACAATAGTACCACAGTGACATTCTTAACTTCCAGGAACTCAAACATCAGTAAGACTAAGAGCCATGCTATATAGGATAAGCTATTCTATTTTCTGTTCTAGAGATGAAAGTTTTCAATATGTAGCTTTGTGGCTTTGATGTGAATGACACTCCATTAAGACCCAGGACACTTGCGGTACAATGCTGAGATTTGTGGAGGTAAGGTACAGGGACATTAAAGTGACTTATTGCTAGTTTTGACTGAAGTGCCTCTTTATCAGACTCCATTTGCATAAGCATTAGCCACACTTTATGCTTCACTATTATATCTGATTATACTACAAAGTCACTACCAATTTAAATCTGCATCAGCAGACTTGGAAAAAACTTGGAAAAGCTGTGTTCTGCATATTAGCTTTTGTAAGTGCTACACAGGTCTCAAGACTACGTTTTGTCAAACTTAGCCTGAAACTGCATTTGTTCTAAATGGCAATAACTTCCATAATATTTGAACTTAATAAGTAATCAAAAAGGCAGTAAGATGGCAGACTACTGAAAAATATTTCAGACACTATATGGAAAGAATTTGATGAATACCTTCATCAAAGGCAAATACTTTTTTCCAGGGCCATCACTCAGTAAAAAACTCTGCACAACAGCTAAACTATATAATACAAATAAAATTTTTTCCCTCATAGAGATCAAACAGAACTCTTGTGGGATTGTTGAATATAAAATAGCTGAATATAAAATAGTAAGAGAATTAGGGGTACAAAAAAATGTTTCTCTTTTCCTGAACAGCAATTATGTCAGTTAAATCTGCTTAACTTTGATAGCAGATGGTCATGGGGAAGAATAGTCAAACAAGTTTGGGAAATTATCTTCAAGGAGAGAGCAACACAGAAGAAAACCGCTGTGCATGTTTCAGTTTCACACAATTACACAAATAAGAAATAGGAATATCAGCTTCAGTAACTTTCTTAATATCCAACAACACAAAACACATCTATCTGAAGTTTACAGAAGGCTCAAGTAAGACTTTTACTTAAGCAAGATTACAACTGAAGCTTTTTTCAGAAATGGAAAACACATTTGCTGTTTTCTGTTAATTCTGCATTACTTACATTGATTTCTCGTACATACTGCAAGGAATAAATCACTCCAAGTTTGCAAAGTGCTAGGAAGACTGGAACCTGAGCATCTGGGCTTGCTTCAGCTGCCATGTCATAAAATCGCTTTGCAAGATGAATATCCTAAAGTTAAGAAAATTCAAAGCTCAGTTTTGAAGAACTTGAAAAATTACCTTTTTCTTTTTTTTTTTAACTAACGGATGTTCACCTTCGAATAGACAAGTAAAAGCAAGCTTAAATTTGAGGATGAAGCTAATGTAACTCAGACCAGAATTGAAGCTCACAGAGAGTTAGTAATAACGCATTCAACCTACTCACTGTTAACCAGGGCAAATATTTAAGTAACCCTAGTACCTCTAATATCTCCAACACCACACCAGACATAAAAGACTGAGAAAACCCAAGTCCTAGAGGAGTATGCAGCAGCATTTTCTCTCAGTTATACTACAGTATGCCTGCTGCAGAGTGCAGCCTCTAACTGTTCTGCACATACACACAAATTGGATTTTACTCCTTATCCAAAATGCACATAACTTCATTAGTGAGGACAGCAAAAGCATGAGGACAAACAGGGAGCAACTTTAGGAAGAGCTTAAAGTGTTCTCTTCTGGGGCAGCTGAAACTACGTGGTGACTGTAACAACAACAGAGGATACATGTATCTGAATAGTTTAAGTCTCCTGTTTGGTGTTTTTTTGTCTCTGCTTCAGATACATACTATGCAATGTTAAGATACCTGGATACAAACTGTCTATGTTCACCCAACGCTGTGAAGGACAGGACTGAGTAAGACTTCTCTCTGAAAGTGTTCTAAGTTGGACACAAAGTAAGAGAAATCTCCAGGACTTGATGTCACACGTTTATTTTATAATTTTATCCTGATTGTGATTACCATAAAGATTTTTTGCTCATTGATACAGGAAAGCTTAGTTCCATAACACTTGTGGAAATAACAGTATGAAAATTGACACATCACGTGAATGTGATGTAGTAATTCACATTTAGTATTTTAATTCAATAGAGCAACTCATTGGGCCTGTTCTGACCTTTTGCCAAGAATTTAGGGGAAAAGAAGCAAAAATTGGTCTTTCAACAGACCAACAGAATAATTAAAAGGTGCGTACCTAGACAAAAGCCAAAGGTTGAAGCTCACTGAAAATAAGGAAAGCTAATCCATTTCTTACACTTTCAGGTCAAGTTACTACTAAATTTGTACATTAATTGCATGAATTCATCATACCTTAAGGTAAAGCACACTGCTCAAAATCAGTATTCAATGCTAATGACATTATTCTGACACATACAGAAACATGATGCTCTGGATTGCATAAGTTAATTAACTCTTGCAATACACCATAGACTTCCTAGGAGAACAGATACGCTGTCCTTAGAGATGTAGTTTGCCTGACTTGAAAAACCAGAGCTAATAATCACATTGTTGATGGTGCCTATGGTTTGGTACCTTGTTTTCAAAATGTCATGAAACAGGAAACAATTTAACCACTGTTTCAGAGGATGAGAATAATTTTGTGCTAAAATACTTTTAGACTGGAGTTGATTTGCATTCATTTCACTACACTTCAAAGTCTTGAAAGCATTACTCAGGCACATGGCACTCTCTTTGCCAATATTTACAATTTTGGGCTAGTGTTTTTCCCCTGTCTACACACCATTTCCTCACACAGTTAAATGTGAAGTGGATATACTTGTCCATTTTCCATTGGTGAATGTATTGGGAGACATACTAATTCCCACTAAGTGGTTATATAGTAACCAAACCCCAGTAGTGGTTAGGGACTTAATCTAATATTAGTAAATGTACTCTAATGAAGCAGATTATCAGGGTACATCTTACTCACCTGCTTGATGCCCAATCCCTTCTCATGCATGTAGCCCAGATTAAACATTGCTTGAGCACTGTGCTGCTGTTCTGATGCCAGTCGATAGTGAATAAATGCAGTTTCATAGTCAACATCAGTACCAAAGCCATAAAAATGGTAATCTCCAAGTTTAATTCTTGCAACAGTATATCCTATAAATCAAGAAACAACAAAAAAGATAAAATAGCTAAGCAAAGAAACACTTTGTGTTTCCTATGAAGATGCAATAGGGGCTTTAGTATTGCTTTCCACAGTTTGCACAGTTTATCTTTCCCCCTTCTCACATAAACAGCTCTTTTTTTTTTAAATTGGATTTAGCTAAACGAAACACAACCAATTTCTCTTTGCAGATAAGACCTTTTCCTAGTAATGCTACCAACATTTTTATTGCCATTAAGTGGTATCCGCTGAAAAGCCGTAATGTTGTTCATAGTCATAGTCACTTACTACAGAAAAAAATTTTGTTTGCTACGTGACCATTAAAGGCTTCAACTTTGTTTTTAAAACAGAAACACTGAAAACTTTAAGCACAATGCCTCATCATCATTTCATAATTGAACACTTAACCATTCCATCCTCTCAGTTTCTTAACTTCCTGCTAAAAGCCATGAAACTCTGAAAATTAGGCTCCATTTGCATAATACACCTAATCTCTGACATGAAAACCTAGTAGACAGACACCAGTGTAGATGAACCCAGATGAAAGTTAGAGACCTCAAGCTCTTTAATAATTTAGTTCAGTTTTGCTTATTTTAGGATAGGATCACAAGCACCAGAATTTAAACTTGTGTTGCTTGGACATCAAGACTGCATTCTTCATTACTGAACTTTGCTTACTTTGAATAGGAAACTGCATTTCTTAGAAATGATGACAAGTAACAAAGTACTCTTTAGGATTTTGCATCTCTTTTTCCAAGCAGGTATTTTTAGAAAAGTCAGTATCAACATTCCTAATGCTGTTTTACACTGCACTATAATTCCATATGGCTAAAGAAACACACAGTATATTTGTGTTTTAGTTCTTTTAATCTTCAGAATCACAGAAAGGCTGTCACCTGCAAACATATTGCAATGACACTATAGCTGACAACAGAGCAAGAACATCAACTACGCCATGTAGAATACAACTTTTGTTGAAAAGAATGAGGTAAGCTTTTCCTCCTTCCATGTTTCATAAAAACCCATGAAATCAGACATTAACGGCTCTACTAAAGGTTAAGGAAACTTTCCTGTCTAACCATTTGGGAGGCACTCTGCCCATCACACTCCCCCCATCACAGACTGTTAGTGCTGGGACCAAGGCCCCTTTGCAGTGGACGGGTGCCCTGTCTGACTCCTTGCTCACGTCACTCTCCCACAGTCAGACAAGCTTTCCTTACTGGCTGGACTCTGGGTTTCCCAGAGTAGTCTCAGATGCCTGAATCCTTTAAACAATTTAATAAGGGCACAGTAACACAAAAAGTAGAGTTAGTGTGTCCAGAAGGAACCCTGAATAAAGTAATCCCTGAGCTTTTATACCCTCACAGTCTGGGGTCATGTCTCCTGCTGTGCCTCTGCCGTGTCAGGTCCCCTGCCTCGTGCCACAGGTCCCTGTGTCCTTTGCTGGCCCCTTGCCTCAGGCTCCTGCCCCCCAGAGCTCAATCTGCAGCTTGAACTGCAGCCATACACTGAGCTACCTGCACTGAATGTATTCCTCAACATAAAAATAAACTGACTGGAATTGTGAGGTACAAGCATACCTTGAGAAGCTGCTCTATTCCAGTGAAGCAAAGCTCGAGGATAGGTTTCATTTTCTCCTACTATGCTAGCTTCCTCTAGAGAAGAAATAATTCAGTTAAATAGAATCATAGTATATGAACACACAACCACAAAACAACCCCCATGCTTATAATTCAGTCTCCTGACATCAATTAAAAACTTGAAGCAATGTGTGTTAGAGCAGAAACAAGATTCATCTGAAACTTATAAAAACACCTTTCATTCATATGGCCTTTCCATTTATCTGCCCACATAAAGAGATAGAAACAAATGATATAATTTCATCTATGGGTTACCACGTCTCTCTCCCATTCCTGCTGATACATACTTGAGGAATGACAGAAGATGCAAGTCTCAAGAGCACATAATTTGGACTTTGACAAAGGTGCACTGAAATACAAGGCTAAAGTATAACCTATTTTAGTTTGGTCATCCAAAACCCAGGACCAGTGAGTAAAACAAAGGTTTAAACTCATTACCCAGCTAGAAACTGCATGTTTTACACAGCAGTGCTTCTGCTACTTCAGAAGTTGTCCACATCCTAATTTGAGGGTTCCTGAACTATCAGAGTTCAGACAGTTCAAAGGATTTATAACATTAACTTCTACTGAATTACGATTTCAGCTGTACTATGTCACAGTTGACATACAGATTTTCTGTATAAAGTGTAGTAAATAATTTAAAATCACTCTCCAGTTGAGATGCAGATATATCTGAGTGATGACAATCAGAGTTTTAACCCAGGGAAAAATGTCATTTCTTTGCAGGAGTGCACTCCCAGCCAAGAATGGCATTACTGTGGCTTATCTAAAGATGATTCCCTCAGGCACCTTTGAAAAACATTACCTGAAAATTACGATGTTAGGTTAGTGTATCAGCCACCATGTAAAGCTTGTAATGATATCTAGATTTGATACTGAGAAAGTTTAAAATACTGGGTTTTGCAGTTGCTAGACAGAATTGTCACTTGTACTTCCACTGTTTCTCTATGACTTCAAACTCTAATAAACCAAGTTCTGAACATCTAGGTCCAGTTGGAGATGGGACAAGTTTTTTTCAAATCTAACAGAGCCAACTGTCCAGCTCTTTATCCCTGCTACACGGGTTGTATGAGTCAAGTTACAAAATGAGAAAGTGCTGAAGAAAGATTTAAGTGAAAGAACAAAGGACACTGAGACTCGTATGCATAGTGCAGGTCAAAGGTAAACCTCATGCAATTCCTACTTTTAAGGCTATGTTTAGGAAGTGCAGGGAAGAGAATGTTCAGCACTGTGCAAGTTTTTAAAGATTCTCTCCCTATGCCATTCTAAAATCCCTAAGTCAGAAATTAGGTGTATTGTAACTTATAGGCCAGAAAAGTCATCCTTAGAGGTGAAAATGAAAACTTGACTGCTTTCCAGTGTGAAGAGCAGGAAAAAAGACAAGTTTTCACTGAAGTTCTAACTGAACAAGAGTTATGCAATTGCATCTTCAGGTATTCTAGCGTTCTACTAAATGGTCTACTGCAGGCCAACTCCAAAAAAATCTTTACAGTACAAATTCAGATCCTTACTCTGATCAAGTATGAAAGCAGCATTGCTTTGAGCAACTTCGTAGCCTTGTTCTGCCAGAAGAAGATACTGAACCACTGCAGAATTTGAGTCACCATCTTTATAGCTGTTGTAGGCAGTCATCAGTCTTTCAGACCAACGCCCCCGTTCACATACATTCTTAAACAACTGCAGAGGAAAAATGAAGGGGGAGGATACTGGTTGTCAGGAACTAGATTTTGCAAGAAGTAAACCTTTAACATTCTGATGCCTGTTCAAAATATTTACATTTCGCAGGAAAAACGTGATAGATGAACTCAACTGCTTCAGACAGGCCTACTTTAATGTACAAGTTACTAAGCAAATACATACCAGGATTCAGATGCTTACTCAGAATTATTCTTTAATATCTTACCTTTTCTGTTACAGTTCAATTCAGGTCTAAATGAAGAATCTGGTACTTATAAAATACTGATGCTTGCTTTGTATTACATTCTTTTGATTTTCTTTGAAGTTAATAAAGCAAATACACATCTGACAGATCAACATAAATAAACTTTTCTCGTAAAATACAAAGGAGTATGCTAATGTATCACTTTCCGTTTTGATAGCCTTGACTCTGCAGTCACTGGTGGAATTTAGCTAAGACAAATGTCCTATATAAACTGATGTGGTTATAGCCAATCTTTTGCAAGTCAGTATTATTTGACCTTTATAAATGGATGACCTTACCTCAACAGCAGTATGGCAGGATCGCATCACTCCAGTGCCAGTAGCATGCATCTGAGCCAGGTTATAAAAAGCCAGAATGTGGCCACCCTGGGAGGCCAAGTTAAAATATTTCAAAGCTTGTTTATAGTCTTTCTTGACTCCAATGCCATCTAAGAGAAAGAATACGTCATTGCTATTTATTCCTCTTGAAAAGCAGAGTTGTATGAAATACAGTACTTACTCTTTAAAATTACTCAAGAAAAGTATTGTGAAAGTGTTAGGAAAAGGCAGAAGGAATACAATTTCAATGCAGTAAGCCCGTTCTACATGCAGTATGTGCACACTTGTAATGCCATCTAGTGAACAGTGACTGGAAGGGCAGGTGCTTAGACCTGGCAAATTGTGTTGATGCCACTTACTGTAATACATGGAACCTAGCTGAAGTTGTCCATCAACCCATCCCTGTTCTGCAGCCTTCTGGAAATACTTCAGTGCTAGCTCATAGTTCTGCAGGAAGATATTTCCAGTCATTAGAGTATTGCAATACACCACAATTTAGGAGAGAAAATAAGCATGTGCACACATGTAAGGACTGATCTGTATTACAGAAAAATTACAGCATGATGATCTATATTACAGAAAAATTACAGCATGATTTGGAAACAAATAATGAAATAGACTACAGTGATATCAGCATGTCTTAAGTCTGTAGCTATCTCAAAGCTGGCATCCACATACAGCATTGCTATGAATACTTACGCTTCACAGAACAGAAGCTCTGTTCTGTTTCTAGAACAATTATTTAACTTATTTCCTCAACTTTGGGCTACTTCAACTTTTGACTATCTGTTTGCATGGCTAAATATAAAACATTTGACAAGAAACCTTATGGGAAATGCAATAAATCAAATGAACTAATTAAAAGTTTCAAAGTGTTCCTCCACTCCCACAAGAGACACAAAATGGGGACAGATAGAATTTATTTCACAAGAAAATTAGAGACAAGTTCAAATCTCCTGCCAAAATGTACACTGCTATGCATTCCTAATAACTTAAGCAACATTTTCAAACTTACGAGAGGGAACCTAGTGCATGTCGTAGCTGCTAACTCCACAGTGCATTTTTTTTTTAATATTACAGACTTCCACAAGGAGTTTTCAGTGTAACAGAAATCTTCACAATTAAGCCTTCTACAGCACTTCCCTCCAGAGAAAAAGTTTGTTGACAACAAAAAGTCACACAATCACCTATGATTAGAAAGATGAGTGTCAAAAACTTACCACTGGAACACCTCTTCCGTAGAGATAAGCCATTCCTAATCCACTCTGTCCAACTGGATTACCCTGAAAACACAGAAAAACACTTCTGTAAAGAAAGGTAAAAAACCTACAGCTGACATCTTTCAAATCTGGTGTGTTTTATACATCACTAAAACATCTAAGTGCTCAAGATAGATTTGTTTTGTATTTTTGCTCCTAGTAATAGTTATTTAGGAAGGAAATAGCATCTTTGGTAACCTTTATTTAATAACTATAGATGATTAACAGGGGAAAAAAAATTCAGTACTACTTATCAAAGTCTACTGTGCACTTTGTTACACTGTCATACAAGATGCAGAACTCATACTCATAGAGAGATGGGTCATTAATAACGTAGTCATCTTTAGTTTTTCCAAGTTTGAAAGGTTTTGGATGCTATGGAAGCTCCCAAAACAACTCCAGGAACTCCAAGAATCTGCCTTAAGGGTAGATTGTTGGCTGTCCTGTGTGCTGCATTAGTAACCACTGCCCCTGCAAAAGAATGCACCATGGCATTCCTTCAGAGCCAAGACAGGCAATGGGTCACATCAGAAACCTTCAGTGAATGCAGGCAATAAGTACAGTGAGAGATCCTTAGTTTAGCACAGAAATGTGGAACAACATTCTAATTGTGAAATATAAGAACCACGAAGGCAGTTATCTTGCAGCAGTTCCTTCAAAACTTAATATACTGTGTTTCATGTGCTAAACATTTAATATCAATAAACATTAATAATAATTATTAATAGTTAGAATTAAATATATAATATAATTAATTTTAATTAAGTAATGTGTAATTATAGTAATAAATAGCATATTAATAAATATTATCTATTTACCAAAAATAAGCAAAAAACCATCCTATCAGTGTACTGTAAATTTCTGTGACAACTTCAGAGTAACAGAAACTAGAACTTCCAAGAATTTCAGACTATTTAGGTGACAATATTTCATACTGATGTAATAGAGTTAGACTCTATTGATGGGAGTTACACTCCTTATGCTGAACACAGCTTCATGAAGCCCTATGGCCAGAACTGGAGGCGGTTTTTGACATCTTAGACAAGCAAGGTCTAATTATGGGCCAATCTGGGAGTAGGCGTGCACACACGGCAGGGCACATAAAGAAGCATTTGCAGCATTTTGAAGCTAATCAACTTCTTAATAGCTACAGATAATCATACCATATCAGCAGCTTTCTTGAAATACTGAAGAGCTGTTTCATTGCTCTGAGGTACAACATCACTTCCTTCTGAGTACATCTGAAAGAGAAAGGCATTATTGAAGAACAGCCCAAGAAATCAATTTAGCATGAAGATCATGATGCATCTTCACCTGGCACATGAGAGGGCATCTATTGTACTTACTCTATTCTAACTACTGCACTACTGAATAATCATTAAAGAACTTAGGCAGAAGAAGAAAATACATCTCTCTGCTGTAAAATTTAGATTCAGAGAGTTTAACTTTCTAATGGAGAATGAACTGCCCATAAAATTAAAGTTTTCATGGCAATACTCCTCATTTCCTATTTCTACTATTCTGCAGTGAAGAACACAATCAGGCAAAAATCTTGAGACCAGTGGAAGTCAAACAAAATTGGCAGTCAAAATACTTTGTGAAAATGAAGTAAAAATTGGTTACTAAACAGTGCATTTCATTAGACACAAAACACTCAAGCAGTAGAGAAAGCAGGAACTGCACTTTCCTCTGTCAGGTGCCTTGAAGAGCACATTACACTATTTTTTTCAGGCTCTAAGGACATGAATTTTGCATTCTCTACTGCAGGGACAGCCTGAAAAAGATGAGTTAGAGCTGGTGCTTATTGCAGCCTAACCTTAGAGGGTATTCAAATGGAGTAATAAGGATTTAGTTCCTCACAGGCTGAAGGTAGTCTGCAACCCAGATCTCAGACCAGTGACCTAAATACTTCTCTAAGCAGCAACACATTATCATCACCACAGGCAGCTAGCCAATCATGTTTTAGATTACAAATCATAGAACGGTTTGGGTTAAAGATTATCTAGTTCCAACTCCCGTGCCATGGGATGTTAGCCACTAGACCAGATTGCTCAGGGCCCCATTCAAACTGGTCTTGAACACTTCCAGGGATGGGACACACACAACTTCTCTGGGCAACACGTTCCAGTGCCTCCGCATTCCTTGAATAAAGAACTGCTTAATATCTAATGTAAACCTGTCCTCATTTAGTATAAAATAATTCCCCTTGTCTTATCACGATCTGTCTTTCAAAATGTCACTCTCCCTCTTTTTTATAAGCCCCTTTCAGGCATTGGAAGATCGCACTGAGATCTCCCTGGAGTCTTCTCTTCTCCAGGCTGAACAAGCCCAGCTCTTTCAGTCTGTCTTCATAGGAGAGGTGCTCCATCCTGCTGATCATCTTGATGATCCTCCTCTGGACTCACTCCAACGGGTCTATGTCTTTCCAGTGCCTCCCTTGACTTGTTGCCATGCTGCTTTTGATGCAACCCAGGATGCTGTTGGCCTTCTGGGCTGCAAGTGCACACTGCTGGCTCATGTCCAGCTTTTCACCCACGAGAACCCCCAAGTCCTTCTCTGCAGGGCTGCTCTCAATGACTTCTCCCAGTCTGTGCTCACATCTGGGATTGCCCTGACACAGGTGCAGCACCTTGCACTTGAATTTGTTGAACTTCATGGGATTCTCACAGGTCCACTTTTCCAGTTTGTCCAGGTTCCTCTGGATAGTATCCCATCCTTCTGTTGTGTCAACTGCGCAGCTCAGCTTGGTGTCATCTGCAAACAAACCTCTGACTGCACCCATCCAGCCAATTCCTTACCCACTAAATATTCCACCTTTCAAATCCATGTCTCATCCAATAAGGATGTTGTGTGGGACTATGTCGAAGGTCTTACAAAAGTGTAGGCAGACAACATCAGTCATTCTTCCCTTGCCCATCATTGCTGTCATTCCATCATAGAAGGCCACCGGACTGGTCAGGTACGATTTGCCCTCAGATAAAAAGCCCTTCTATCTGAGAAAACTGAAATAATGGCTCACTCTGCAGAATGATTCAGGCTTTAGTCAGAGTAAGTGCAGACTTATTGGCAATTCTGACTCAGATGCCTCAGTTCTCTCTACACTGTAACAATGTTCTTCCCCTTTCCTTCATCAACTTAAATTTTGAGAATCCTAGCGTTTCCCCACATACTGTTTGGAACAGAACAGGAGCCTTTTCAGAAGCACACTCCTCCACAGAAAAAGGACATTTAGGTACTTAATTATTTGATTTTTAAAAACCACTCTAGTTCAAGCACTATTTAGAAAAAACCAGAAGTTCCTGAAGTGAAGGAAAACTTAGACTAGACATGTAGTCTGCTACAACACTCAAGTCTTGCAGGAAAACTCAAAACAGTTGCAAAACAGAAATACTTAGATTCCAGCATTCAAGTTTTAGACTGCTTGATATCAGAAAGTGGGAAATATTTGCTTTTTGTCATTGAAAGGCAGTCAGTTTTCTTACTTTTGAGAGTGTTTATATCTTACCTTCCCTAGAAAAGCCATAGCATGTGAATTGCCAGCATTAGCTGCTTGATTGAAGTACTCAAATGCTCGCTGTAGAGAATAAAAGTATTTTATTTTCTATGCATACTTAATATTTTGAGCATTGAAAGCTGCATGGTTTCATCTACAGAAGAAAAGTCACATAAACTAGACTATCATCACTAATGCATGCCCAGTGCATCATGAAGATTCAATCTACCACATGTACAAAAGCTCAGCCAGTTTCCAGTACTACCTGATGAAAATACAGTTTTTGGCTTTAACTTTCTCATTTCTACGGTGATTAGTCTAAAATAATTATGTAAGAAAATCAGTTCCATCTACGAGTTACATAAAAATTAAGTTTTATTGAACAAGGCTACTAAAATCATTATATAAAGACTTTTGCTTTACTGTTGTCTCAGTTATACTTTCTCACTCTCTGCCAAGTGTCATATGCATCAAAGATATACAGAAAAGGTACCTGATGGTTTTGCTCTACCCCTCTTCCTCCATGCAAGTGTAATTGTCCAAGGCCAACCTAAAAATAAATTTGACACTGCAAGTTAGTCACTTTTCCCTAGGGACTTTCTTTTTCTATCTCACAGATACTGGTGAGCTAATAATATGCACAGAGGCAGACCATATCTTAAAAATACCACAAAGTTTGAAGGAACAGATTTGCTTCAATAACTACAGTTTTTTCACGTTCGTTTAAGTGGAAATTTATCTGAGATAGAAGTGACATGACTGTCCTTGATGCAAAATAACAACTGTTCATTTGAATCCTGTCTACCTAAGTCTGATACCATATATGACCAGGTTGGATTGTGACACTGACTATAACAGCATCTTCTCCTCCTGCACTGTGTGTAGAAGAGGTCCAGCCTGCAGAATGCAGAACTCGTGTAAGAGCAAAAGCAGTGAGAAATTGAGATCCACAGTCAGGTCTAGTTTTTTGACAAATCCTTCTTCCACAACACCTAAAGCTACCCTTGGAAAAGTCTGGCTGGTTGCTAGAGAAAGTCAAGACCTCTTTCCTATGATACTAAAGTTTTAACGTTTTGGACTTTTCTTTGCAAGAAAATTTGCATTTTCTGTCCGTGTTCTACCTTAGACACACTAAAATATAAGTCTCTTTAAATAAAAGCTAATTGGAAAAGAGTAAACAGCTTGACTTATGGGGAGGAGAACACTAAAGCTCCAATGTCTCTCTGTATTTCATAATTGTTGTTCCTGTAACTCTTGAAAATGTCTGCACGCCATCAGGTGAACTTAATCTTACCTGAGCTTGTACATCTCCTTTCTCTGCTAAAAACTGGTAATACTGGATCAAGTCTTCTTCTAGCATGCCACTTGCCATTCCTGGATTTTCTACTTCATCTGCTAAGCGAATTCGCTGAACCACTGTGCCACCAGTCAAAGAAATGTCACTAGCAACTGGAAAACAGATAAGTGTTGTTCAATACAGAAATTACACCACAACTTAGTAGAACCAGATCTCTACAGAGTTTCAAGTTGTTACTCAGAGAGAATGAATTATTTTGACACCCTCTAAGAATTAAAGACATTTCAACAGAGACAAAAATAGCATATCGTGATTCAGAGCCAAATGGATAACTTCTTTAAAAGTAGGAATTCTCTATGTTTATACTACTAATGTTGACAGCACTTCTAGTATCTTCTAGTTGAGTAACTTAGAAACACATAGAAAGTCAAGAATGTTATCCTAATAAAAGGTTTTTACCATGATTAGCTACAAGTCGGTAGTGAGTGAGAGCAGATTCACAACTCTGAAGGACTCCTATCCCAGCCCAGTACCGGTAACCCTGGAAAGGAAAATATATGGGACTATCAGTTATTTAGAACATACCGCTTGTCAGTTTACAAATTTTTTTCACATTACTTGAGTAAGATTTGATGAGACAATAGGCAGGACAAAGGCCACAAGTCCATTGACTTTGCATTAAAAGCAACTGACTTAACATCATTAAAGGTTAAGTGTAGCCAATATACTTGAGATATTAGTCAAGAAAAAGCAAGTAAGCAGAATGATACTTAAGGGTGAACCTTTTACTTACACATGTTGCACTACATTTGTCTTAAATCTCACAATACTGATTAAAACAGCACCTTCTGTGAAGATCTTTCATAGTTCTCATTAGACTACAAATGTTAAAAGCCTGACACTTCTGCTTTAAGTCAAGAGATATAAACATGGTTCATGTAAATTCATAGTGGTATACAGCTTAAAATGAGTAGACTTATCCTTACATTAAAAAGGAATGATGGGAAGATACTACTGCCCTCCCAATTCATGCAATATAGTCTAATATTTGGAACGTGTATTCATGTGAAATGAAATCTTACATTAAAAATTTTAGGGTACAAAAACATTCTCGCATGTGTAAAGTTATTAACAATCTTACTTACCAAAATCATATGAGCGATTAGATTTCCTCCTAAAGCTCCAAAAGTGTAATACACCAGGGCCTTAAAACAAAATATTTTGTTATTTAACATCTGCCTCCAATATAAAACACAAGAACACACACACAATTTCTAAATTACCTTAGCTTGACTAGAATTGACTCCTAGACCAGATGCATACAGAAATCCAAGAGCCTAGAAATGAAATAAAATTTGTCAGTAGTCTTTGAAAAATCAAGGATCAATTTTCCTGGAATACATACACATAAAGAAGTCAAACAACAAATCAAAGTTGCAAAGAACATACCAAGCTCTACCTTCAGTTTGGTACCTCTTATATCTATGCTCTTCCCTGCCCTTTTTAAAGTATGAAGTTTCTAAATTATTCAGTTGCTTAGGATTCTAGCATAAATTACTTTTTCACCAAAATTCCATTGAGTGGAACAAACCACTTCCCTGAATGTCAAGTGTAGATCCAAAGGTCCCTAACAGTCAAAGTATCCCAGCTTCAAGACCCTCAAGTGCAGCTCAGCAGTAGGTGTCAGGTTATTCATGTACCCCATTTGTCTCATACACCAGTGCAAACATATGTGAACTATGGCCTTCTCTGGAAGGCTCATATTTTTTGAGTCACTGTCTAACAGATCCTATGAATTTACTATTTTGCATCTGTTCTGCCATGGGTTAGTTGCAATTGTGACTATAAATGTAAGCGGTTAGAATGCACAGAGCTGTTTGGCTGAGGTTTTTTCAGAAGTTATTTTTGTTCCTAAGATTTACATAGTTACTGCACTATCTATAACACCTGTTACACCTCTGTGGCTCAGAAGAGAAACTAGTAGCACAGAAGATTGTAAAATATAGACACCTTTATATATACACTATGTTCTAACACTATTCTAGGCAATCTGAAAGCACACACACAAATCATCTCATGCAAACAGTATTGAATTCTAGACCAATAAAAGCCAAGGTTTTCCTCGAGATATGAAGTCTCAAAAGAAAACATGTTCCTGCTCTCTATGGTAAACCAGTACTCCACTATTAAACAGAGAGCAGCAGGAGACTTGGTAGCAAAGAGTTAAGAGAAAAATGGGTAATTGCTTAAGCTGACACTTCCAAGAGAACTAAACAGTAAGTATATGCAGATACTGAGCCACTGCAATTAATAGCACCCATATTTTATGACACTTCATAACAGTAAGTATGAACAATGCTATAATGCTCAAAGGCTTGTGGACAAAGCAAGTCTCATTTCACTAAAAAACTTTTAAGACTCCTAGGAGTTTATAATTGCTAGATTACAAACTTGTGTGTATATCTACTTTCCTATGACAAAATTGCAAATGCAAAGCCACAACATTCCACACAAATCACAGGAAAAAAATAATAGTTTCAGAAAAGGTTTGTTGGCTGGAGTCACCTGTATCAACCTGTTTTTTGACTTACACATCCAATCTAGTCAGTCATACAACAGATAAGAAATTAAAAGACCACCACCATACTCTATTACTGGTAATTAAATAATTTTTTTAAAACTCAAAGAAAAAGTCTTTCAGGTGCCAAACTGATGGCCAAAAACCAGGAGGAAAAACTCACTAGGCAATATTAGTGTAGATAAGATAGAGAGCAGCTCTTTTAATGCAGACCTTCTGGCTCACGGAGTACAAAGATGTGCATGCACAGACAGAATTCTTACTTTTATATCTTTTACTAATTATCATATCTAGTGGGGACATCCAATCCTGAGACCCCTTTTGCCCCTGGTACCACCCTCGAAACTGCCCCACTGGAGCCCCTCCAAGGGTCTTGAGCCTTCTATCTTGTTTTGTCTACCATATTTCTTGTTATTCTAGTCCAGGTGCACGTCCCAATGCAATGTTCCTGCTAAAAATCTCTCGTCTTGAAATGATGGTTAAAAGATGGTTAAACCGAAGCTTTGAGAATGTGACATACAAACTGTGAGAAAGTAACAGTCTAAAGTGAAAGAAAACCACAGCTACATTAAAATCTACAAAAAGTTGAACATCTTAAAAATTCTAAGGCATTAGTGTTTACTTTGAGGGTGCAGGTGCCACCTAGAAAAGCATATTAAAATAGCATATAAAAGCATATTTACTTATAGAATAAGTAAAATCTATAAAACAATTTATAAACCTATAAAAACATTTGTAGAGTTTAAAACAGACATACCATTTGGCCTTTCGGAGAACCTTCTTCTGTCAGTTTTTCCAACAGTTCCTTTGATGACTGGATGTTCTGCTTCAGGTAATCCCCAAACAACAAAGCATAAGACACTTTCTCCATGGCCTTGGTATGATTCATGTCAGCTGCTTTCAGAAGATATTGATAGGCTCTTAAGAGAAAACAATTTCTTAGTCAACTTGAGGAAAAGAAGATTCTGTTCATAAACCTGAAGATTCTGAAGACGTGTTTTATTTCTCTTTAGTCTCTATTTTCTACAAATGCATCTCCCTACAGTCATTTGTTCCAGCTACTAATCATCCATATATGTAACAACTCATAATTTAAATAATAGACAAGCTATTTTAATGTTCACTCTACTCCAAAAGCAAAGCGCTATGCATTTCCTCTCTGGTAAGATATACAAGAAGTTTAAGGTCAAAGGATCACATTTTTGTAGCAGCACAATTTTAAGTCCTGTACAAGGTATCTAATAGACCCACTCCTGCGACAGCCTGAGAAAGACTATGGAGTCTCATCTGTTTGAGTACAAAGCCATTCCAGTGAAAACACCAAGCACTGAGCCCAAGAAAACTGCATACATGACCAATTTTGTGATGAAACAGTCACGCTAACAATGAGAAGGATCTCTGGAAACTCCCCTTTCTATTTCAGTCTCAGAACTTAGGACAGTCCTTCAAAGTAATTTCACAGCACCTGGTTTCACAGCAATTAAAACCCCCATAACCTTAAACATGGTAACAGTACTGTCAAGCATGATTCAGCTTGGTCTCTCAGGAACCTTTGATAGTGCTCCAAGATTTTTCTTTACCTCTCCTCCTTTCTAGTCTCAGACTTGCTTTCTTTCTTTAGGACATACAGAGGCACACCTGGTTACTCTCATAATTTCACCTTCTAGGAAGGTTTAAGATGTGCAAGAGAACTAATACCTAACATTGTTTTACAATTCTTACACTATTTTATACCAAAAAATATTACTCAGAATCCAACAGATATTGTCTCCCTTTATCTTTACCAACAACCTTATCTCCACAAACAAATTTAAAATAGTAATAACGCTCACATAATAATCAGCAGGAAGTCACCACTTACAAAGTTGTCAACATGAGTAACAGGAAGCTCTAAATTAACACAGCCATTCTTAATTACAGTGAAAAGCTGACAACTATTTAATCGCTAACTGGATATATACAGAACAGAAAGCGAAGAGAACAGAATGAACAGAACACTAATTTCTTTCTTATTCTTTGATTTGTCTACAAGCACTACTCTCTTCTCTCATACAACACAAGTTTAATACTATTTTTATGGTGACCAAAACCATCAGAAAGCAAGAAAAAAAACCAGAGCAGGACAAGAAATGTCAATTTTTCCCACTTAACCTTTGAAGTAGAATGAGAATGGGACTGTAAGAAACACCAGAAAAAGGACAATTATCTTGTATCACGTTACTTTCTTCCTGGGGAGTTACTACATATAAATTGGAGCTAGAGAACTGCAGCAACATCTTGCCTTAGGTCAATGTTTTGATGACACCCACTCGTCAGAAATTCATCTCATGCAATTTTTATTGCATTCAAAGGAATGCAGGCATAGATCTGTTTTTCTAAATACCCTGAAATTACTATTTATTTTCAGTACTATCACTGCATAGTTTGTTTTTAAATCCAATAAAGCTCAAAATCCTGGGGAAACTCATTTAAGTTCATTTTGATTTAAGCAAGAGTGATCAGACATCGTCCTTCTCCTGTGGGAGTGAATAAGGTAGACTTACACTTTCTTCTGAGCCTTTTTACTGCTTTCATTAAGGATTTTCATTCCAATCTGATAAACATCCTCAGCTTCTTGCATCTGCCTTCTCTTATTAGACTGCTCTTCAGCTTAAAGAAAAAAAAAAGGACATTAAGAGATCCAATTATACAGCTCAACACTGTTCTCTCATAATTCCTATTAGTTATAAAAGGAAAATACAATCAGAAATATGTTTCTGAAGACCAGTAAACCCAAGTGAATACAAAAAGCTGTCTAAAGGAGGTATTGAATATCTTCATAGATGGTTTCTTCTTGTGTGATGTCTTTCATGTATGAGTTTGCTGAAAGAAATTTTATTTTCATTGCTTGAAAGTAAATTCTGCAGGAAGAAAGGTTCCTCCTTCAGGACATTTCCTAGAGAAGGTTGGTCCCTTGTGTAACAAGCCAGCCAGTATAATGGGAAACACTGTCAAATCCCTATATTACAGCCTCAAAAACTAAGAGTTTTACAGATACCTCCATGAGAAGATTTCCTTATTAGCTCTGGGAAGTGGCTTTTCTTTTTAAACTTTTTAAAACTTCTCCTATCGTGAAAACTTCACCTTTGTAACTACTTGTTTATCACAATATGAAGTGACCATTATTGTATGACAGGGACTTCTAGATCCAGAAATAAAGGGCATTAAGAGGACTGAAAACACTAGCTTAAAAAAGCATTCATTGGACAAAAACAAGACATCAGGTTACTTACATTCACAGAAGCCCCACTTCTGATCTTTCTTGTAATCATAGGTTGTTGCACACCAAAGCCTGCCATCTTCCCTCCCATCTGCAGTGCACTCTGCATATTCCTTCTCCATAAACAAAAAGGGGAAGTGGCAAGGTTCACCATCTGCAGTGCCTCCAATAGCTGTCAACACTGAAAATGCATACCCAGGAATTAGACTGCTCTCCTTTATTCCCAAATTAATCTACTACATATAGTAAAGTGCTCCTATGTTGGTTTTAACTCCTATGAACTACAATTAGTCAAGTTTTCTGTAAAATTTCTAATTTACAAAAGCCTGAAAAAGCAACTTGAAAAATATAATATAATTCTTAGTTTTAATTATGAAATAAAGCAGAAGGTATGTGGTTTCTCATATTCCTTAGTTCTAAGCAAAGAAAATAAAATATTGTATAAATTAGAGAAGGCAAGTCTAAGTTACATTTTTATTGCCTATTAAAATAAAGAGCCTTTCTTTGCATTTCCTCCTCTCTGCCAAAGACCTTGCAATGCACCCTTAAAGTACATTCCAGAGCATATACTAATTTTAGCCCTAGGGTTAGATACAATCATGACAGAACAACACACATCACTAAATGTTACACTGAAGGTGCTTGAATATCAGCAGGGATGAAAAGACTTAAGTGAAATCATTACAGTGTGGATGGATGGTTATTCTAATCACTACAGGTCCAGTAATTTTCTACTCTTGGATGTACTTACACTGAAAACATTTCATTTCATCAATATATTTAGTTGCATTCAACATGACTTTGAACAACATGATTTATCATTTCTCACACACTAACACTTCAAAGGTTACTGACTTCAATATAGCAGTATTTTAAAATAACATCAATCTTCTATGGAGACTAAGAATTATCTCTGTTTTCTGAAGATGGAATTATTTCAATTAGACTTTTAAAAAAGTCTTCCTTTTTCACTAAGCTAAAAACAACACTTGGGTTCAGCTTCATTTGAAGATGTTTGCAAAGTCCTGAAATTGACAATGTCAATTATACCTTTTTTTCAGTTATGTTTGCAATTTTTGTGGTTATAGAGAAAGCTACTTCTTTTTTCTAGGGTCTACAATTGAAAGGCTTAAAGACCATACTAATTTTAACGTTTCACGTTTATTTTCTGAAGCAAAAGGAAGTCTTCAGGTGTAGCTAGCCTTTTCAAATTGCTCTTCATAACTGAATTCCTTGGCAGAGGTTCCACCACACCACTCCAAGTTAATTACATCACAAGGAGAAGTGTTATTTTCAGTAACTGATTAAAAAATAATGCATTCACATGCAATTAATCTGGAATAATTTCACACATCTGTTAACTACAGAGTAATGTACAAACTCATGCCAAGCGTACATATAACTACAACTGCTGGGACCTCTTATCACTGTCATTTGAACAAACTACAGGATATAAACACTACTTGACAACTCAAAGTTTTACTTGCATTGTTTAGTACCTTGTCTCCTGTACTGAAAACAATTTTACACAGTGCTCTGCATGAGTTAGCTGCACGCTAAGGTTATGAAATTACTCTGCCTCAATTCTCCTGTTTTTGCTCCCAGATAGTAACAAATAGTTATCCCTACAATAACACAGCAATGCAATCACAGGTTAAACTGCACACCAGTTATTTTACTACGTACTTAGAGAATGATAAATACAAAGTGAACCAAGCAATTTACTCAGAGGATAAATTAGCTTTTGTGAAACTGAGTGTGCAAGTAGCAATCTAACTCTTTCACTATGTCTGAATAAAGTACGAATTTGTCCTTACATCTCATTTCATACTTTATGCTGCAGGAATTACTCATAGATTACTTATAACTATTGGTTAATTACTGTAAGATTCTTCTAAATAGGAAAATAAATGTAACAGTAATTGCCAGCTCTGTATAAACTTGTGGGTAGTTTTTAGCAAAAAACTGTTAGCTTTTTTTCTTGTAACACTGAAGTTTCATACTAACAGTTAGTTATTATGGAACAGTTAGTTCCACACTGGTAGTATGGAACTTTGGTGTTACAAAACACTACAACACAAAATAACAAGGACTAATAAAAGATCATTTTCTTTGCATATAAAACCCCCTCACTCATCAGAAGACAGCAGGACAACTTCTTTCTTAGAAGGTTAAAAGCTTTAGCAGCACTAATTCTAAGTTAAGAATTTTTTAAAAATGCTCAATATCCTGCAAAATACACGTGGAAACTTGCAGAATATAATTTTTTCCCATGCAATCTCATGACCATACACAGTAGCTAAACTGTATTTAGAAGAGTTTTAATGTCCCTTAAGGCAGTCCTGTCACCAGTAGCTCACCTGGGAGATGTAACATCTGTACCTGAGATATGCTCATTTAAAGAGTTTGCCAGAAGACTGTTAAAGGACAGTTTATTCTCCTGACAGAACACAAATATTTTTCTTTCAGAATTGCTTTTTATATAAAACCAGTAATCCTTCCATTCACATTGCTTATTTATTTCATTAGATGTTCCAAAAACTGTGCAAGACTTCAACTTATGGTTTTCGAAAGTCACTTGCAGTACTTTGATAGGTGTAGTTAAAAACCTTAGTTGACAGGGAGCAAGTCATCTGGTAACATTTTTCTGACATGAGATCAAAACTACCTTAATGTTTACTTTTGAAATAGACTTCACTGGCTAAATATGGTGCTTAGTTCACTCTTTTGTGGTAGAAAGATATTTAGTGCATTATATACCTTTTCCCTGTACAACACAGCACCTATCAACAGCAATAATTACCTATTACTGACTTTTCACGAACTGTATACCAGTTCTGCACTAATAAGGAAGGCATATTAGAAAACACTCAAGAGTTACATTACAGAGCTCATTTCACAACTCTTGCTTGCTTTCAACATTTGAATGAGCTGAGAAGACAAATACCCTTAATACCACATATTTTTTTCAGTAATATTGAAGATTTACTTTTTAAGGACAAATAAAAAGTCTGCTGCATAGGCTAAGGTACTCAACCATGCCACCTAGTTATCTGCTAGTACCTACAAAATTACGTAGTAAAAAAGCAACACTAGCATTTCCTGGGAATTCAGGTACAAGGACATAAGGTTTTACCTATATTTAAAAACTTACTGAAGTTTACATGGAATTTAGATGTTGCTCTAAGGCACTCATTGCTGTTCTAGGAAACTTGTCTTTACATCATTATTTGTTCCCTTTCTGTCAACTGACTCGTTGGGCAAACGGCCAGGGGGTTGAAAAACACTGATGCAATTTCTCTTTCTATGGCATACAGGATTGTACTTGAGTCCTACTGAGGCAATCAGGGCCTTTTCCATTTAACAGTTAAAGCTTTCCAGCAAGATGGAAACAATAACAATAATGGAAAACTCTTTCAAATGCACTTCAAAATAACCACTCAGATTTCAACCTCAGAACTTTTTGATGTTACTTTCTAATGGAAAAGGTAGCATTTAACATTCCATTATAGAAAGGTTAAAACACAAGATATTTCATATTACTATTTTGTTCATCCACATGCTGAAGTTGTTCAGATGCATCTTTCTTGTCCCTTGTTCAAAAGTTTGTGAGCAGTTACCTGGACTCTGCATTTCTGCTTCTTCCAAATCCTTATTTAATAGATTTGACATTTCTAGAGAGTTCAACTCTTCCAGTGAATTCTCTTTTTCCTCTTCTTGACTGTGAAAGTTCTCTTCATCCTCTGACTGAGAGTCCGATTTCCCCGACTCAAGGAAGATCTGACCTGCTACTACTCGAGTTCCTGTGGAATGGTCCTTTACCTGGTCCTCTGCAGATAAAGTCTGAAGGAAAGCAGCCACATAATTTAGAAGATTAGAAACTGAGGAGCAGCAGTGGGCTAAAAAACCATTACTGTTTAAAGATATGATTAATTAACATATTAAGCTTCAACAGTAGCATCAAAACTCTTGAGCTACCTCTACCTCTCATTAGATCTACCCCTTTCAATTCTTAAAAAAAAAGTTAATTTTTTCCAATTTGCAACATGTTAATCCTTTTGATGTACAGAAATTGAGAAAGCAAGAGCTACAGAACATTTCAAAACAGAAATCAAATCACCGTTCTGAATTTCAGACCTTTGCTCTCACTCCAGAAGAGAAACAGAATGACTAGAAATGAGTATCTCCTCACCTTTGAATCCAGTGATTCATCTTGATTTCCTTCTTCATCTAGAAGAGATGTTGTAAGTCAGTAAAATGCTTTTCCATGAGTAATTACACCCAAAATAAAAATAAGTTTAGTTATAATATTGGACCATGGTTCTGAAATATTCTAGAGTACTAAGTTGACCAATGCACTTCAGGAAGACCTTATTAGTGTTCTCAGGACGAATCAAATATTTCACAGAAGATCCTCTTCCTTAAATTATGTCAACACAACTGTGTTTCCAATAGAGAAAAAAGTGTGGGTTTTTTTTTTAAACTCAAATCACAGTCTGAATTGTTCCAGTCCAACTAAACTACTTTAAAAGGTGCATCAATTGAAAAAGGCCAGTAGAGACCAGAAAGTTACACTAAGATCCTCACACTCATAATTAACATTGTCCTTTGTAGAATGCAAATTCATTTTTCTTGACCAGCATATTAAAACCTTTATAGCGAAGTGTCTCTTCAGAACAGTGAGAAATTAGTTTAAGACAGGTGAAAAAGAAAAGATAATCAGAAAAGCTTATTTATGACAGATTTACCATTGCTTTACAGAATTATTTCTGCAACATTTTTTTTGTTCCTGTAACTTAAATGGGCTATGCACTGTGCTTCAAACAACTGTGCTATCATTTTGACAGAAAGCCTCCAAAAGTAACACCACTGAAATATGACTGTTCCCAGTCATCAGTATCTGACACCACCTCATTTAGGTAAACAAAAGCCCACTACATTTCAATGAAGATGCTATAGACCTCCCTCTCTCTGGTACACAACTCACTTAAACCAAAATAACAGCTTAAAATATAAACAGTTCACTAAGCAAAGCCGCTGCTAACTCCTCCTACACTTAGAAATCCCCCCTTCTGTGGTTCTGGGGTGTCCAGTGCCCTGTAGCAGTGGTAGGCCATTGACAAGCTGGAGACATGCACTAAGACTAGAAAAGAAGTCAGTGCCCTGTATACGAGTCACAGCATTGGATGTGTTTCGGTTGGCTATGAAAGGTATCTGCACAAATACTGAATGCCAACAAAACTCTCCAAAGTTTATAGAAATCTGCTGACTTCCTGGAAGCATCTGACAAACAAAACTTGCATACTTTTTGTTCTCATGCAAGTCAAGTGTCTTACCAGAGAGAAATCATCTCTGAAGCAACAAATTACAAACATGACACTTGACTGGTATATGTTTTGAAGTCTTCCAGTATAACAGAGCAACTGTGGGCATTTGCAGTGAAAAGATTAATCTTGGAAATCACTTTCTGGAGCCTAGCTTCTGTATTGTTATTTGAAGTATAACCTTTGATTGGAACAAGTAAAAAGATGAGGGAGAATCAACTGTAAGCTGTAACAGCATAATAAAAACAAAAAAATTCTAAGGCTTAAAAGCGAAGCTGCGAAACTACGGTGACAAGAAGTTTGAGAGTGCAACTGAAACAAATGACAGCCTGTTAGGATGGTGAAGAGGATGTAAAGCTCAAATAGTTACATGTCTGGCAACAGACATGTAATTAAAAAGGATCTAGAACACTTGATATGGATAAGCAGCTGTACTCTACATGTCAAAAAACCAAAGTGTGTAAAGCACTTCAGAAGAACTTGTGGAGACAGCAAAGAGAAACCAAGACAGTATGAGAACAAACGTCAATTTGGAAAAAAACATCATGAGGCATAAGATAAAAACAAGGCTAGCTGCATTTTTGGCAGAGACCACACTGCTTTATCATTTTGAGGAATTTAACAGATAAGGGTGATTCTGGTAAGTCATAAGAGTTTCTACCACTGAACTTCAGCATTTCAGATCACCATATAAAAACTGGTATTTAAATACAGTAAAAGTGCATATACATTTAGGATATTTGTTGGCATTTCTATTTCAAAACTATAAAACAAATTTGAATTTACCATATTTCCTACAAACTACTTTCTATCATCCTAAATAATTTTGACCTAAGACCAAATGCCACCTTCAAACTCCAGAGCTTGTCGAGACATTCAGACATGCTTCTGGATAAGGGGGAAACTAAGACAAGGTAACTCACCCAGTAGCTTGTATACTCCTTTTAACATATGTAAAGAACTTATGGAGTAACTGTTATTGCAGTAAGAGACATCATGCTTGGTTTTTTTTTTTAACCACTACACCAGCCAGGGGGATTGTTTTTGTCTGCTCAAAACCAGCATATATGCCTGGTAGCACTAGGGCTTTCTAGTGCTTTGGTAAAGGCTTGACTAACCAATTTCAATTTGTGGAAGGCTGACTTTACAACAAAAAAACACACGGTGTCAAATATAAATAGGTTATACTTTCTATGTACACATATTAAACAACATTTTTATTGTAACTTCATATGCAAGGCAAGAGACACCTGAACAAGGCAGAGCTCATTAAGTGTTTGGTCTTCTTCCTTGAAAGCAAATAAATCTATTTCCTTTGTATTGCATCATTTAAAATCCCTCTGAAGGAACCAGCTTCCTTATTAAGAGGTTGTACTTGAACAACTGTTTTCTAACAGTGATTTCATAGCAGTGCAAACGCAAAACAAGAAATATTAATCTAACTTTTCTTAGCTCTGAGACTTCCTTCTACGGAAGGCAGATGAGGTTGCAGTGGTGACAGATAATGTGACTAGAGGAGGGAACACTTGCAGCCTTGTTGTTTCACAGAACTGCTGACTAATATGCACCAGCTACTCACAGAAGTGTGTTTACCTCTACGAAACTGTTAAAAAAAACTATTCTGAAACTGTTAATAATAAAAGGTCTACGGAAGGTCACTGTTGGAACTAAGAACAGTTTATTAGTCAAGGTTCAGCTAGTGAACAAAGTCACAGATGTTACGTTTGTGCACCTGCTTCAGAGATTAAAGCTGATACTTTAGTTTGTTTTTCCACACTTCAATTACAAAAAAGTAACTGACTTTTTTTTTAAATTTGGATCTGGTACCACAGCTGCCTAATTCTATAAACCTCTTCTGAAAAGGCCAAGTGGAAATTAATATTAGCATTTGTTAAACATATTAGGGATATGCAATGACATATTAAAAGGAAAAGGTAGGCAAAAATACTTGTGGTTGAAGTGGCAGCTGACAACATTGTACAGAAAGCTTCACTTACAAACAGTGCTGAGCTGTGTAGCTACTGCTGGGTGCTCTCATGCTCTAGAGTTAAAAATCTTGTTTCAACTATACACCACTTCACATATAATTAAAATCTGCTTTAAAATGTATTCATTTTTCCTCAATTAGAAAAAATAGCATTCAACCAGTCTACGTAAATATAGCAAAAGTACTTTGGCAGCCTATGTGAGAGAAAAATATTCTACCATATGCTGCTCAAAGATCCTACCATTTTGTGAGAATTTTGTGAGAATTACCATTTTCAAGAAAGAACTAACAAGAGAAGGGTAGAAGCAAGAAGAATTATGCAGTGTGATTCAGCAAGAACGTCCTTAGTTCAAGTGAGTTCAACATTTTCAAACTTTTGCTGTGTTAGAAGAACAAATCAAGTGCCATCAGATAAAGCTAAGAGACTGCCACTACCAGACAAGAAATACTACTACTTTCAATGTTACAGTGGTCACTCACCTTCAGGAAACAGCCTAAAATTCAGTGAGTGCAAGCAGCTGGCAATACCCCAGAGCTCTGATGAATGCCCTAACTGATCACTGCAGTCAGTTTCCTTCTAGTTTTTGCCAAGCTCTTCAAGCCTCAAACACTATCACAACAAAGCAACTAGTAAGGGTCTGCCTAGAGTAGTGATCTCCTACCTGGAGTGTGTACCCCTCAGGGGGTGTGATAGCCAACACACTGGGGCTGCAGGAAGAAAATACTTTTTGCACTGTTACCTTTTCTTAATGCAGTGTTCATTCCACCTTTATTTCATTCTTTTCTCATCTGTGTTTTTGCACATTTTATGATGTGCATAATACGATAATAGTACATCAATGTCTAACTTATTAAAAATACATGTAAGAAGCATGCTCAAAAGTCTTTCTATAGAGAGGAGTGCATGAATAGACATAGTTTGGCAAAAAGTTTTTTACAGCACAGAGATTTTCTGTGGTATTTTAATAATTTCTTTCAATGTTTTTGTGCCAGTGACTAGATAGACTTTGAAAGGGAATGCAAACTCTGTTTATCCAATTCTTGCAGGAAAAAAGGAAATCTTAAAAAAAAAAATTACCTCAGACTGCTTCTCATCAATTTTTCAACTGTTATATTCAGCACAGAAACAGACTCGATAGCACAGATGCCACTTCCATTATATGAACCTCTAAAACACGCAGTGACTCAAGAAAAATCCGTAAGTAGCATCTATTCAGCAAGAATAGTTCTAAAGTATCCTTGGCAGCAAGTAAATTGTTCCCAGCTACAATCTGTGCAGCGTATTCATTTTAGTCCAACTAGAAGATTGAGATATAGGTCAACCCTCACCCTGAATAAAAATCTTTTTTTCCAGTCTCCTTGCAATTGCTGGCTGACTAGTTACAGAACTTACTCTCCAGCAGTTCCTCTGTAAGAACTGAGATTCCCTGTCAGGCAACAATGCAACAAGTATAGGGAATGTTTTTCAGTTAGCAAAATCAGACAGGTCAGGGAAAGCCATTGAGCTCTGTCTTACGAAAGAAGAGGTACAGAAGTTCCCTACAGGTATATGACTGCTCACGTAACTCCTACCAGTTAACAGGACAGTATGAAAACGCCTGCCTGTGGCTGAAGTTAGCCATGGAAGGTGTAGAGGAGTCAGAGGAAGAATCACTTCCTCTCTTCAGGCAGAATGAGAATATGTCTCTCTCTTAGTCTGTGAACAAGAGGAAACAAGCCCAAGAATCTAAAAACACTGGCAATCAGAAAAAAAAAAAAAAAGCAAATTTGTCAATGTTCTTAATGAATGACCAAGGAAGCCATTGTCAGCTTTATCTAGAAAACACACAAATGCTTAGCATTTTTTAGCTGCTTTTGCCCATTCCCCATGGACTTCTTAATATTCTTTTCCCAGTCTCAGTTTTAAATTCCTTCATAATTTGTATTACTATCATATGTTTAAAAGAGTAGTGCCCATTTCTTTAGGCCAGAGTTTTCTTGCATTCACCTGCAGTTTTCAATAAATCGATTTAAACAAAATTTATGACTACAGAGTTAAGATTTAAAGCTGTAGTTAAAATACTTCCTACTAAAAAAAATTTAAAAAAAAAAAATCACTATTAGAATCTGCACCTAAAGTCAGGAAATGTAATACCTGAACCCTTTTTACTCATCCTTCTTAAAACCTCTCCCCTCATATCCCAGATGACTCTTTCCAGACCAGACATTAAGAACAAACAGGTATTCAAGGAAGCATTTAACACACAGTTTTAAAGCATATACCAGAAAGTGGTACTGCTACTGTTGGAAATCAAAACATGAAGTAATGACAATTTTCTTTCAGAATGATTCTCACCAAAAATGGGAGTAAGAAAGATATTCCTCTTATAGTCTGCTGATAGAAGATGGACTCTGAACACTCCCTCCTAATTAATTCTGGATATTAATGAACAGTTTTACCTCACAGTAGCTTTTTAAGTTTGTCAACAATTCCTAAGTCTTCATTAATGTACTGTAGCGTGTGCTTTCTTTGGCTTACTAATTGTATTAGTTCAATTGACTCTAAACATATGGATCATAAAGGTTGAATTCAACTACCAGAACTTCATACTCACAAACACATCTTTGTGATAGTGGACAAATAGTAAAACAGCAGAGCTGCATGCTAATACAGCCACTGATGCACACTTGACCAGCCCTTAATTTTGTCACCTAATTTTCATGTACTCAACAGATGGTTCATCTGACATTCACAGTCTCATCTTGCCTTAGCTTTTTTTCTTTTATATACATTATAAATGAGAGCACACAATTCAGAGTGGCTGCACGTCCCTGGCTTCATAGAACTCCTGTGTTTCTTTTCTGTAACTTGGGAAGTGCCCCGCTGGCTTACAGAGTGACGTACAAAGCTCCTATAATCTGAACTCTGGTAATAGCACTTCAAATTTCAACTTCCTACAGCACACAGGAAAATGAGCCCAAACCACTGAACTTACTTTCCTGAAATAGTGTAAAAGCACATCCCCAGTAGCACTGGATAAGGTTGTCTGCTAAAGTACTGGCTTCAGAAGCACTATATAAATAAATGCATTGCACTTTCCACCAGCCCATGGTGGAAATAAGGCTGTGGGAGGTAGAAACCCTACGAAAGGAAGTAGATGACAACACATGAGAAGCACACGAAACCTAAGCTGCATAACAACAAAATAAGCACGAAAAAAGTATGATGGGGGACACACACAACGCAGGACGCGGAAACGCTCTCTCTATATATATCTGCGTGAGAAAACTGCCGTGACAATGCTGAAATCAGCATTATCAGCGTCTCGGCGAGAAAATGCGTGCTGGGGAGGACAAAACGCCTCACTCGGGTTTCGAGCAGCGCTGGCATCTCAAAGTGGGCTCCCAACGAGCTGCTCAAAGGCGGACACCGCACTGAGCAAGGCGGCCACCCGCGCCAGGCCCAAGGAGCGCCCCGGGGGGTGAAGCGCCGGCTCGGGGGGAGCTGCGGCCCCGCCGCCCCCGCACGGGAGCCCCGCTCCTGCTCCCCCGGCCCCCCCGAGGAGTCGGCGCTGCCCCCACGCTCCCAAGAGCCCCGCCGAGAGCTCCGGGTCCCTTCCCTGTCGCTGCCGGCCCCGCGCAGCGCTGCGGGCGCCACGACCCCCCACGGACACGGTGGCAGCGCCCGCCACCCCCTCCCGCGCCGCACACGCCGGGGGGCGAGGCCGCCGCCGCGCTGGGGCCCGGCGGGGCGCGGTGCCCCCGTACTCACCGGCCGCGGGCAGCGCTGCGGCGCACGGACCGCAGAGCAGCGCCAGCCCAGGCTCAGGCTCAGCCCCAGCGCCAGGACCAGCACCCGGCGCAGCGCCCGCCGCCCCATCCCGCCCGCCGCCTCTGCGGGGCCGCCCCAGCGCCCCCGGCCCGCGCCTGGCCCCGCCCCCCGCGCCGCCCCCGCCAATCGCCTGCCGCGCCCGCCGCCGAGCACGGGGAGCGCCTGGGTCTACATGGCCCTCTCCCATTGGCCCAGCGGGCCCGTCCTTCGCCGGCCACGCCCTCCCGCCAGCCAATGGCGCTCCCGTGTCTCAGCGCGTGCCGGCTGCGCGAGCGCCGGCTTCCGAAACGGCGCCTGCCGTTGGCTCGAGCGCCGCTCCTACAGCACCCACAGTGCCTTGCGCCGGCGGACGTGCGGCCGCTGGGCCCCGCGGAGGGGCGGGGACTACATCACCCAGGACCCCCCGCGCCGGACCGCGCCGGGAGGAGCGTGGCGGCGCCGCCTGCAGGCCGGGCCGGGAAATAGCGGGATTGCCGGGAATGGGACACACCTCCCTGGTTGGGAGTACGGGGAGCAGCCGTGAATTCAGTATTTGTCTAGACCGGCACAGATGGAGTATGTGAAACGTAAAGAGTGTAGTTAGTTCCGCTTTATCTTCGGAAAGGCATCAGTTCTGGGAAGGGCCTGAGCAGTTTCTCATAAGAATTGCATCTTTCTGTAGGTAATACAAAAGGAAACAAGGAAGGGCAACTAGCAACGTGACCTTTAATGGACTGAAACATGTCTGGGCAGTAAATATTACCACCTCAAAGGACTGTGATGGTACACAATGCTGTGCTGAGTTATGAACTGCATTTATCCCACTGCCCAAATACTGATAAGTCATCTCATCCTCACAGTGCTACATTTGGGATCTCTGTAGGGCAAGAACAGCCACCAATGGCTGTATTTCTCCCATGAGAGACAAGAGCTGTGAAGCGTTCTGTCCCCCCCCAGGGCTGGCTGAGGAATTTTCTGCCTGCCAGGGCAGGGTCTGCAGGCAGGGAAATGCTGGCACTGCTTCAGCCAGGAGGTGCCTCAGCAGCTTGTAAGTGCCTTGGACAGAGCTAATGAATAGGTCTGATTCTAATTAGGAGTATACTGAAGTACCAGTCAGTTTTTTCTATCTGGAGTACAGAACAGTGCAGATTGACTTTGGGAAAGCCAAGCAGCACTTGTGGTGTAGGAGCATCATCTTGGTGCTTCCCAGCACTTGGATCAGGCCTAAGCTTAACCTGTGTTGTGGTCAATGGAACAGTGTTCAGTGAACCTGTCTGTGAATGTCACCCCTTGGAGCAGAGCATCTCGCAGGAGGCAGGGCACCTGGACTAAGGTGGTGTGAGAGGAGGGGAACCCCCACATATGGGGGAGTGGCTCGAGGCCACCACGTGTGGCAGTGACTGTCCACACGGGTGGGACAGGCCAAGCCTGGGAGGCAGCACGATGGGCACTGAGGTGACATGAAGACTTGGCCCCAGCACAGGAGATGGCTCTGGTTTGCCCAGCTGTGGAACTAAGGCAGAGATCAGTGGTACAGGTTTGGATACCAGGCAGGGGGGCTTTACAAGCATGGATTTTGTGAGAAGCTGCCAGAAGCTTCCCCCATGTCTAAAAGAGCTAATTCAGCCAGCCCCAGGACAGCGCTGCTGCTGGCCAAGGCCAAACCAATCACAGATGGCAGCAACACCTCTGGGGAAAGGGAAAAAGTTACTGTGCAATGGCTGCAGGAGAGAAGAGTGAGAATATGTGAGAGAAAAACTCTGCAGACACCAAGGTCAGCAGAGAAGGAGGGGGAGGAGATACTGCAGGTGCCAAAACAGAGGTTCCCCTGCAGTCTGCGGTGAAGACCATGGTGAGGCAGGCTGTCCTCCTGCAGCCCATGGGGGTTCATGGTGGAGCAGAGATCCACCTGCAGCCCATGGAGGACCTCATGCCAGAGCAGGTGGATGCCCAAAGGAGGCTGTGACCCTGTGGGAAGCCCACGCTGGAGCAAGCTTCTGGCAGGACCTGTGACCCTGAGGAGAGAGGACCCCACTCTGGAGCAGGTTAACTGATAGGACTTGTGACCCTGTGGGGGACCCATGCTGGAGCAGCCTGTTCCTGAAGGAACTGCACCCTGTGGAAGGGATCCAGGCTGGGGCAGCCTGTGAAGAATTGCAGCCCATTGGAAGGACTCACATTGAAGAAGTTCATGGAGGACTTTCTCCTGTGTGAAGGACCCCATGCTGGAGCAGTGTGAAGAGTCCTCCCCCTGAGGAGGAAGGAGCAGCAGACACAACGATTGATGAACAGACTGTAACCCCCATTCCCTGTCTCCCTGCACCACTGTGCCACTAGGGGCAAGAGGCAGGGAATCTGGGAGTAAAGCCAGTGAGGAAGGGTGGGGAGGGGGGAAAGGTGTCTTTAAGGTTTGGTTTTATTTCTCATTACCCTACTCTGTTTTGATTAATGATAAATTAATTTTCCCAAGTCTCTTTTGCCCATGACAGTAATTGGTGATGATCTCTCCCTGCCCTTATCTTGACTCACAACCCTTTTCTTATATTTTTTCCCCTGTCCAGCTGAGGAGGGGAGTAATAGAGCAGCTTTGGTGACTACCATGTGACTGGCTAGGGTCAACCCACCAGAGCTGCCCAGAGCCCTTGTGGTACTCCCAGCCCCTGAGGTGTTCAGGACTTCAGTGAACAAATCTCTCCTCAGCCTGACCCAGTCAGCCCTCCTGCAAGCAGGAGTTGGGCTAGGTGACCTCTGGAGGTCACTTCTAAACAAACTCATTCTACTTTTGAAGCTGTGTGTGTAGGGCTAAGTGAACTGGAGGAACAAGAGGAAAAATATAATAGGAGAAGCAGATATTTTTTTCTGAATTAATAATCACCTTCCAATAAAAAAAATAGATAATATTGCAGACTGAGTTAGTTACGATTAATTTAGTATGTGCTGTACTCTGGGAGCGTGGTAAATTTATTGCTACCATTCCATTTACTTGTGCAGCAGCCATAAAATTCCCATTACTTCTCTTAATCAGTTTTGTGTTTTCTTCTCTGAAGCTTTGAATGGAAGCTTAGGTATTTTTTCAGTGTTCTTCCTCTCTGAAGCTTTGAATGGAAGCTTAGGTATTTTTTCAGTGTTCTTCCTCTCTATTCTATTCCAAAATGTGGTGGTCTTTTATGCAACAGTACAGGTGACCAGATGAAAAGTAAAGGCTCAAATTTCATCCTTGTGTTTTAGGTTTGTTTTCTCAAAGTGTTATCTAATCTAAATTTTCAAGAGATTTTTGAATTGGACCTTTTTGAATACTGCCTAGCACTTGTCTGACATGATGTAATACTAGACATTCTCAAGGTAGGAGAATGGAAGTGTGCAAGTTAGTGACAGCGTTAGAATTTTATGATTATTTCTCATACTCTCTTGCTTGTCTCTTCTCTCTATAGTTTGATAATACAAATTTCTGTGTTGTAGCAACACTACTTTTTACTTTGATTGTGGAAACTTTCTGGTTTGTTTGTTTGTTTGTTTGTTTGTTTTTTCTGTAAAACTCCAGAACTGGGAGAGGTATGAAGCTTGGTACAGCAACTGGAGCAGGGTCTGTGGGTTACAGGGCCCATAAGTTTCTATTATTTCATGTTTGTTGGTATACTCTCACAAAGCCTCTCAAATATCCCATCATACCCATGAAAGTCTTGCTTTCTTCTCTGTTCCCTTCTCCCACTCCCTCCCACACCCCTGTGCCCCAGCCTATTCCTGAATACTTCATTTTAACAGCCCATCAATCAGTGGTTTAAGAGTTCTGGTCTTTGTCTACCTTATTACCTGCTCATTGATATATTTGTGTCTGTCTGTTTATTGCTTTATAACTTTCCTTGTTACTTGTTACTACTACACTGAATAACCATTAACTGGGTAGCTTAATGAACCTAAACGTGCATTCCACTAGTCTTGCAGTGGAATAGAGGAAAATGCTCTTGTTTGTTTAAGGTCCTGGGATCATGCTGCCTTTTGTATTGATTCTGGTTTTCCCTCTGTTATTGAATTACTGCTTTCACTTTTTTGTTGTTGTTGTTCATTTTCTCAGGGGAAGATCTCCAGTTATCTTCAGTGAGATTTCCTGTAGGATTTAATGAAACCAGAGTACTATATGCTTACCGCAGTTGTGATGTTACAGTCCCAGAGGCATGAGCGAGTTGCTTGTATAGATTTTTTCTGTCTCTGAATTGTGCTGAGAGCTTCAGCTCTCTACCTAGTGTGGGAACCTTCCAGCAAGGACTGTTGGTGTGCTTGCACTAAAAATAAGGTCTTGCACTAAAAATAAGGTTATCCAGTTGGTTATGTGCTCCAGGTCCTATCTCTAGATGACAATGAATAGCAAACACAAATGAGTTTGCAGGTGCATAACAATGCACAAATGAGTTTGCTGTAGCATAACGAATTCCAGCCTACTCTAGAGATACAATGTATTAACATCAGGCTGACCCGGGTACAAGTCTGGTGAAAACATAACATTTATAATTTAAAAAAATATTTTCATTATTGATTAAATGCTGTGTAAAATCAGTAGAATTCTATTCTAGTCCCTAATTTTCAGAAGCTGGACAAAATGAGGAAAAATACTTTTATTTAGTCTGTAATTGGAAACAGGAAGTGATGATCTGTTCCCTTTCCATACTGCTGCACAGAATCACCTCCTTCTACCTGCAGGCCACCCTCTTCCCAATGCACTCCAGGATACCTTTGGCCCTCCTCAAGGGCACAGTCCTGGCTCATGGACAACTTGTCATTGACCAAGACTCCCAGGTCCTTCTCAGCAGAGCTCCTCTCTAGTAGGCCAACCCCCAGCCTGTACTGGTACTGGGGGTTATTCCTCCCCGAGTCCAGAACCCCACACTTGTCCTTGTTGAACCTCATTAGGTTTCTCTCCACACAACTCACCAGCCTATCAAGGTCCTGCTGAATGGCAGCACAGCCTTCAGGTGTATCGACTAGTCCCCTAGTTTTGCATCACCAGCAGACTTGCTGAGGGTATATTCTATCCCTTTGTTCAGATTGTTGATAAAGAAGTGGAAGCATGTACA